GAGAAGGCCTGATACTTGGGTGTGAATATTATAAATGAATGGGAATACATGATATTTCCAAATTTTGTTTCTTGGAATATCCATTAGCTAACAGACCTTCCTTAACATTGATAAAGAAAGTAGACTTTCCAACTTTCACACCAGTGGGATGTATTTTCCCCACAGGCTCAAAGCAAATTCATAGGGCAGATGGTATTTATTCAATGATATGAAGAGAGACCAAGGATGAGAAATTTGAAATATTGACAATTGCAGAGTCAGTGAATACTGAGGAGATCCTACCACACTGGAATTAAACGACTGAAGTATCTATGTTTTTAAAAAAGGACGAATCTGATTGGGGTAATTATAAGCCCATTGTGATTACTTCAATAGGAAAAATATTGATATATTAAACAGTGTAAACTTTGGAAACAGCATGTGCAAGGATAATCTTGGAGTTGAGTTAGAGGAATCTGCTTGTAAATCAGAAGTGGTCGATGATATTTCATACAGATAAATGCAAGGTACTATACATTGTCCTATATAGTGGATCGTGTAAAACTGAATAAATGCAACATTGAAAAACAGAAAGTAAAAGTACACTTGACATAGTTTACCAAGTACTATGGAACATTGATTTAAGTTGCTACATTACTTGAGCATGAATCAGAGGGTGCCATATTAAAATAATCCTGGTGAGATTTTGCATATTCGAATTTAGATCAGCAAAAGCAAATCATAAAGAATACAACAATGGAATCAGGATGTCATCAAATAGGAGCAGCAAGTAAAAGCCAGTGTGTGCAAGTAAACATATCCAATGACAGTAATCAAAATGACTACATTAAGTTATTATTGGCTAAAAACAAAAAATAAACTTACACTTTGAAACAGTCAACAAATTGCATTTATGTACCACCTTTAATATAGATAAATTTCCCAAGACACAAAGATACATGTGAGGAAAACAGATATAAAGCCAACAAATGGAAGACTGCGAAGCACAATCAAGAACTTGCTTAAATATTTGGGCATTAAGAAAGTTATTAAAAGTTAAGTGGAAAGACAGGTGAATTCAGGAAGAGTTCAAGTCAGATCCAGCTAGTTGAATAGGGCAATGTTGAATAGCAATGGTGGGACAAAAGGAAGGTAAGGTATAAGTTTTACTGTCAGAAGAGCAGGATTCAGGGGAGAAAAATATAGATAAGTATGTAGATAGACAAGGATTATTTAATACATATCAGCATTGAAAAGGTAGATAGTAACAACTTTCTTGAGAAATCGATGATATCCAGGTCTGTAGTCATTGAAGTAACTTGCATTTGATACCAAATAATGTCTAAACTACAGAGGTGGCTTTGGTGCAGTGACTGTAATCCACCAAACAGCAACAGACAGCCAATTAAGGCTTATCAGCAACCAATTAACAATTTTCTGGTGTGATTGATATCTGAGCAGCATTGCACTGGACCCTTGTATGGCTGCAGCTCATAACGATATACAAGATGCATAAAAAGGTCTGTCTCCTATTAAAAATTGATGTTCGGCTTTAAAATCCTCTACACGCAGATATTGGTAATTTCAGTAACCAGTAGTGCAGATGATAAGGAAATGGAAGCTGGCATTTCACTTCTCCACTTAGATTGGCCCTCTTCAGCAGCAGAGTGTAAAGAAGGAAAGCTGCCAGTCTTCCACTCTGATTCACTCTCCAGCCTCCACAATCTACTTGCTACTCCTAATTGAATGACAATAGGGTGCATGTGTGTGTCTGAGAGAGGTGGTGATGGCCATGGGGGTCAATTATTGCAGTTAGGAGGGATGGTATCTTAGAACTTTCTTCAATGAGGCCATGTGGGAGAACATCAACACAAAATGGGGGCCATCAGTTTACTGGGAATGTACAATAGACCTGTAGTCAGGGGGATGTAGATATGTAATCAAGCGTCAGAGAAGTGTTAAAATTATAAGGTCATTATAATGAGGGGATTTCCCCAAAGTGTGAAGAGCTGGGATAGAGGTTAATTTTTAAAATGTGTCCAGGAGAGCTTTTTAAGACCTACAAGAGAAGTGACATACTGGAGCTAGTCTTAGTGAACGAAGCACACAAGTGGTAGACATGGCAGTGGAGGAGCTTTTCAGTGATAGTGACCATAATTCAGCACAATTTAAAGTATTTATTGAGAAGGACAAGTATGGAATGGAAATAAAGGCCAATTTTGATATAACATAGGATCTGGTAAAAGTAACCTGGGAGCAGTGATACTTTGTCATTATCTGCTGATTCACTTACCTTAGGATTTGTCCACTTGTCAGGTTGATCCCAGGCTCCCATTTCTTTCTCTCTTCCTCCTCCCCATCACCCCAAGTGATTCATTTGGTCTGATCACAGTGCATAGGAGAGTTACATGGGGTGGGGGTGGTGGTGTTATGTGCATTTTCTGTTGTCTGCAGGAGTCCATGCCCCCAGATAACAATGATTAAGTCCATTTGCATGAATAATTCCATCTGATCTGTGATTTTTTGAACGGGTAATGGAAAGCTTGCAGGGCCAACATGTTTCCACGAAGCTGACAGGGAGGACCCACAAATCCAGAGAACCCTGGATTTTAAGTGATGTACAGAATTGTAGAAGGGGGAGAAAAAAGGAAGCTTATGGCAGGTGAGGTCTCAAAACATTATATACTCTAGAGCAGTACAGAAAGTGCAAGGGCTTACCTAAAAATGAAATTAGGCGAGCGAAGAGGGGACTTGGAAAACACAGGCAATAAATGTTAAAACTCTGAAGACAACGTAGAATTATATTAGAGGCAAGAGAAAAACCAGGAAAAATGTAGGGATCAAAGTGGGAACCTGTGTGTGGACCAAGACATGAGGTTTTAGATGAATATTTTGTATTGATATTCACAGCAGAAGTCAATGTAGGTATAGAAATCAGGGGCAGTTTTAGCAGGCTTAAAAATGGATTAATCCCGAGGCACAGATGAAATGTATCCTAGGGGTATCAAGGGTTATGTGAAAAGTGCAACAAAGTGAGGAATGCCAGATCAAGCATGATCCTATTGAATGGCAGAGCACTGAATGGCCTACTCTTGTTCCTGTTTCTTATGGACATGCTGTGAGAAGTATTAGAGGAGAATGAAAGGGCTTGGACATTAATTTTCAAACCCCCTCTGACCACAGGACGGGCACCAGAAGACTGAATGACAGCAAACATGATACCATTTATTCAAAAAGGGTCATAGTGGTAAACCAAGAAATTACAAACCTGAGTGAAACATCTGTGATTGGGAAACGATTGGAGAAAATTCTGGGGAACAGAATTAATCTTCATTTGGAAAGTTAAGAATCAATCAAGGATAGTCAATATGGCTTCATGAGGGGTGAGGAAGAGACATTTGATTCAATTTTGAGGCAGTGACCAGATGGGTGGGTGACAGTAGTGCAGTTAACCCTAACCCCATCATTAAAGGTATTTGACAAGTTGGATCCAAAATTAGCTTGGTGGCAGGAAGCAGAGTATCATAGAAGATAATGGTCAAAATGTATTCTTATGACTGGAAGCCTGTGTCCATTTGCATACTTCAGGGCTCAGAGCTGGATTCCTTACTATTTGTAGTGTACAGTAAAGATTAGACATAAATGTAGGAAGTATGATCACAGGACACAAAATGGAGGTAGTAAATAGGGAGGAGAAAAGTTTTAGCCTACATAACATTGTAAACATGCTGGTCTTATTGTCTGAACATTGGTAAGTGGAATTCAATCTTGAAAATTTGAAATTGGAAGGTCTAAAAAGGCAAAGGAGTACACATTGAATGGTAGGAAAGGATGTGCAGAGGAACCATGTTGTGCATGTCCACAGATCCTTGAAGGCAGCAGGACAGGTAAGTAAGGTCATGAAGGCAATGGGATACTTGCCTTTAGTCAAGACATTGAATAAGAGAAGGGCTATGATGGAACTGCATGTATCATTAGGTCAGCTGGAGTACTGTCGACAGTTTTGTTTGCCACAACATAGGAAGGGTTGCACTGGAGATGGTGCAGAGGAGAATCACCAGGATGTTTGCGGAGTTGGAGCGATTGAGCTATGAAGACTTGATAGGTTGGGGTGGTTTTCCTTTGGACAGAGAAGGCTGAAGAGAGGGGTATTGACAAGGTAGATAGGGAGAAATGTTTTCCTTAGAGGGGTCAATAACAAGAGTGCGTGGTTTTAAGGTAAGGAGCAGGAGATTTAGAGGGAATTTGAGGAAAACCCTGCTCACCCAGAGCATGGTGGGGAACCCAATCCCTAAAAGGGCAGTAGATGTGGGAACCCTCAAGACATTTAAGTATTTAGATGAGCATTTGAAATGCCACATCATAAAAGGGTGTGCACCAAGTGTGCAGGATAATGGCTAGCATTCACAGCACCAGCGACCCAGGTTTGATTGTGACCTTGGGCGACTGTCTGTGTGGAGTTTGCATGTTCTCTCCAGGTGCTCTGGTTTCCTCCAACAGTCCAAAGGTGTGCAGGTTAGGTGTGCTGGCCAATGCAAAATTGCTTGTAGTGTCCAGGGATGTGCAGGCTAAATGGATTAGCCATGGGAAATGTAGGGTCACAGGGATAGGGTAGCGTGTGGCTCTGGGTGGGATGCTCCTTGGCAGGTTGGTGTGGACTCAATGAGCCAAATGGCCCACTTCCACATTGTAGGGATTGTATAAGCTGGCAAATGGGATTAGAATAGATAGACGTTTCAGGACCAGCAAGGACACGATGGGCCAAAGAGCCTTTCTGCACGCTGCAAAAGCTTCATGACACACATTAACACTATAAAAGTATCGTGTTGGATTCTTATTTTGTTGTTTAGCAAAACTGCTTGTAATAACTAAAATTTTAATGATGTACCAGTTTCCAACTAAAGACCAGATACTGTCCATGAATGTTTAATTACTTGCTCTTGGGACATCCACTAGCAAGTATCTAAAAAAGTGATTGATATGCATGCATCTTCAACAAAATCAGAGAAAGTACACAAAAATGTCTTTGGTGACATTTATTATTTGACAAATATTTTCTTTTTAAAAAAAAGACAGTGCATCACTTTGAAAACAAACAAAATACACTAGCAGTTTCACTACAATATCTCCTTATCACTCGTGTTAGTGGTTTTTAAGGCATGTCAGTGATAAACTTAATCAGATTCACATGAACAGGTAAATGGGTAGATTAAATTATCCATTATGCTAAGTATGGTCTTTTCAAGTAAACTTAGCATTTAAGATATGGTGCATAATGTTCACATTGTATTTATCACATTTCAACTACAAACACAATTTTGGATCAGCTGTGCTGAGGTATTATGTCAGTCATAGAAAAGTAAAACTTTACATTTTTACACAGGACCATAATTAACTGTCTGAAAAAGAACAAATGAATGGATGCAATAAATTCACAATGGTTGTATATTTTCCAAATCATACATTATTTAAAAAGATTCCATTTACTGAGGTTGAAGGTTCTTGCTTTTCTCTGCAATAACGTAAAAATAAAAACCACAAAATCATAATTTAAAATAACTCAATTTTAAACATTAGCAAATAAAAACTGTTCTTTATCCATACAATTTCACAAAACTGCAATTTAGTCTTTCAGCTGCTTGAAGCAAATATTACAAAATATGCAAATATTTTTAGTTTTGCAAATAAACAACTTCAAAATATGGTCACATATAAAAGGCTTCTGGTGCTTGCACCACAAAGAAAATCCAAATTCACACTGCAAAATTGCAAAACTATTAACTGCAAAGCATACTTATTTTGAATTCCATTGTTTACAACTAAAGGAGAATTAGTCAGAATCACATTAAACACATTCATCTACCACAAGGTTATTTTTTTCTATGTGCATATTCACATATTTTTAAAAAATCATTCATTTCAACATTGAGACAATTTCTTAATGGCTCATAAGTGTTTTTTTTTTAAAACAGGAACTGTGGCATGCAGAACAGTTAGGTACTGGTCTGTGCTCAGTTATCTGCTCGAAGCTGGAATGACACTTCAGCATTCCGGTTGGTCTCTGTGCTCCTCAGTTGAACATAAAGAAAGTAATTGGCGCTGCACCATGACCGTTCAAGTCATCATGCATAAACACCAGGTCAGGGCAACACACTATATTGTTACGATGCCCCTATTATTGAACTTCTTGCTGACACAACAATCCGAGGATCATGAGCTATGCAGGATACACAACATTGAACAGTGCTTGTGCAAACAAAGTAATAGGGGGTCAAATGACTTCAGGAGGTAGGGAGTCCAAGAAATTTACAAAGCAGAAATCAAGGCACTATAGTTGAGAAAGATTGATAACAGATGCTCCTGAGCTGCATTGTCAGTCCCTTTTTTCCCCCTCTCCCCTATCAAGTGCTTCCTGAAGATCCGTTGGATGGATAACCTGTACTCCATAATCTGTTCCGTGGACTGCTTTTACCACAGGAATGCATGCTTGTATTGAAATGAGTAGGAGATAGAGAAAACCCTACAGAGAATCAAGAACATTAGAACATTAATAAACTTACATTCTAATATGATAATTCATAAAATGACTGCGTAATTCTGGGTGCATTCAGAGCTATTTATATTCAATTGGTTTGTCGTAAGTTGATCAGTGTGACCTTACGTGATGGCTTATAAATGGGCAGACATAAAAAGACAAGGGGTGCTGAACCATAACTGCAATGTTTAGAGACTAACATGGGTGTCTAGGAAAACTGATTTCCAGTATAGCACAGATGAGGGTGATAAATATCTATTCTTTCTAGCAGCTGCAAGATTAGAATGGAAAATAAGTTTTGACTCAATGGTGGATTTTTGACAAAAACACACGATCAACTTGAAGTTAAGTGCTAATGTAGTCATAGAATGCAAGGATTCAAATTATTCTAGAAGAGTGAGTGAGTAACACTTCCAAAGTGGAGGCAAGGCTGAGACAAAAGGGGAGCAGCTTTTCCCACCCTAGCTGCTATTTTGTGATGAAAATTAACACAAACTTCTTTAGAAGTGCAGAATGGTATCCAGCCCTTCCCCCAATTCTTGATAAACAATGGAGTGAAAGTTTTATCAGGGATAGATAGTCATGTGCAATAATCAAATCTACCTTTATCTTCTTGAATGGTGGCAGAGGTTCAAATTACCTATTCACGCTCCCAGTTTGCACGTTTATATTTTTCTCTACCAAAGCTTCTTTCAATGAGGGCGAATCAACTATTTACTCTTGGCTAAGGTATTGTATTGAAAGTCATTGACATTCTATCAACTGAATTCCACTGTCTACAAAGAAGCAGAATTTTTTCCTTCATAAAAATGTTTTTAACCAATAATGCCAAAAATTAATTCTGTATGGAGCTCTGCAAGTGCTAAAAATGCAAAATCTAAACACATTTGTTCAGAAGATAACTAAATTCATAAAATTCTTCATAAAGAGTGGTGAGTTATAATTAATTCATAAATACTTACAACTATCATAATTATAAATATTTTCCATAATTCATATTTTCCTAACAGGAGTTGTATGTCAATAAAAAGTACAAATTGATGTTGAAACTATTCCATGTAAAAGCAAGAAATTACAACAAGATTTTTCTACCCATCTTAGTCATCTTGCATTTTGATTGGACAAATCAGCTCAAAGACAAGGAGCTCAAAACAGTACTCAACATCCAATTCTTTCAGAATTAAATTTTCAAAGCAAGAATCTGATCGACAAATTAAATAGTTACCTAATATAAATTTCACACTTTTACAGAAACCTATAATCATAAACATACACAAATAAGTATGTTGATAATGTTTACCTCCACGAGGTGGGGTCCGAGTAATAAAAGCTGAGTGATACATTGGCTCCTGTGGTGAGAAGAACGCATGATAGGCTGCAAATGAAAATTAATAGTTACAATACGTATTGTAAAATCATATCACAAAATTTTCTTCAAGCCAGCAGTACTTACCAATAATCATAATAGCAGTCGCAGCAAGCAGCGCAAAGAGTGTGAAGAACATAACTTGGTAAGACTGAATGAATTGCTGGAAGAAACCAACACCTTCCCAGTGAGTTGCTGTGCCATCAACTGAAAAAGGACAAAGTTTAAAAGTTAAATTTCACCTTTTTGTCCACTTTGTAACACTGAATTACATGATGAAATTCACAGATTCCAAAACATTATCATTAAAAACATTTAAAGTTTTGTTTTCATTATGGCGGTGCACTTAGAAGGCCTCCACTGTTGAAAGCAATACAACGTGGTACTAAATCAAACAGACACACAAAGGTCTGATCCTTATCAATCAGTCAGTAATGATACAGCAGATCTCAGCTAAACTGATGGTAGAGATGCTGCCATTGGCTTAACGGATCTGGACAAACTTTCCAGACTTATCTGCAGTGTAACTTGACAAAAAATATTGGTATGAATATTAGAAGCAGCTTTGGATGTATTTCTGTTCCTGATTTTCCAGTTAAATTGCTCAATTTGCATAGACTATGCATAAGTAATTGGAATGAGACAACAGTGGCTGGCAACCATGGAATTATCAACTCAAATAAAAATAAATTACCATAGGTGTTGGAAATCCGAAACAAACAAAATGTTGGAGAAACTCAGCAGGTCCAACAGCATCTGTGAAGAGAAACTGAGTTAATGTTTCAGAAGTGGTGCTAAAGAAGTCATATTGGATTTGCAAAATTAACTCTTTCTCTCTTCACTGATGCTGCCAGACCTGCCGATTTTCTCCAGTATTTTGCTGTGTTTGTCCCATAGAATCAAACTGTTCAATACTTACTGGCTACAAGGTGGAAGAAAAGGCAAGAGAAATGTCATTATTAAAATTACTTTTCTCTCTCTCTTTTCCCCCATTTTCCAGTCATCACAGTTCAAGCAGAAACTTGGCAAACACAAGTTCTGAAAAAGTTATCAACAGTTCCTTTCCTTGGTAACAATTACTCAAAAATAAATGTGACTATATAGTTGGCACATGCTTGGTGGCTGAAGGGCCTGTTCACGTGCTATATTGTATTGTATAAAATGACAGGTCTGGATTCAATTGCCTGGATCCAGTTAATACTCCTATTGTAAAATGTAAGTAACAGACTGTAGAAATTGTTGAGGTGAAATTATGACGGGGTGCCCACAGTTTCAGGACACAGGATCCACGGATAAGTTCTTAGTACTTTAATTTATAATTCAGTGACTGATTAAGTGATCAGCTTGGAAAAAAATGGATCAACTGACAACCTGGAGTTTAACTCAACTGGTTAAGACATGTAGTGGGGTTCATGTTGCTAAAGAATTGTAAAAGGAAAACCCAATACAAGACAATAAACGGCAGCAAAATTTGGCAGGTGAAGTTTAGTCAAGATACTTGCCCGATAGCGTCATGACAGTGGCTAGTTCATATCAATCTAAGGAAACAGGTGCATTGCCAGGGCGACTCAGTTGTACCTCTCCAACAACATGCAAATTAGATAGCAATGACTCAACCTTGAAGATCAATACATTGTAAATCTTAATCATTTCCTAATTGAAAGGGTGCAGCATTCAGGCTGGTTGGTAAGCTTAAGTCCCATCAATGCAATACATCAAGACAAAATCTTGCCAAACTGTTTATATAACAATGAATGTGGAAAGTGCCCAAGACTGAATATTAATACAAAGGAAAAATAAATCAGGTTCCTATTCACTGCTTCAGTTCAAACTCTGAAGCACTCACTTTACTGAGTTCAATTACATATTCTTGACACCCGCGGCCACAAATCAACATTCTAAATGCACAATCTGATGCTACATTTTGAACAATTGCTTTGGTTCACAGTTTTATAATTTTGGCTTGTTTCCTGGCAAGGCAGCAGGTTATAAGTTCCTATAAGGAGCCAAGAAATTTAATTTCTTGAAAATCCAGGTGAGAAAAATAGTAAATTTCACTCTACCCCACCTTTTCAACTAGAGCACCTGCGCTCCTTCTGTTTATTTCATGCTTCCTTCTCTTTTTCTCCCCCCCAAGTTTTTTTCCTTCTTGGCATTTTCCCAGATTCAGAGTGGGCAGAAGGCATGGGTGATGGCCCATCAGGCTGGAGGCTCAAGTAGAGCAGGGAGTGTTTAACTGAGGACCATTGAGAGCAACGGGCAGACCTGTGTGGATTCTCCCTGCGCTGATCTACTGCAGGCCCCTTATAAAGCATTAGTCTTTCTAACTTTATTTCTTATTTCTGAGATGGTTCATGTGGGGGCGGTTCTTATTGTGGGAGTGAGGTGATTTACCTTGTGTCATGCCAGAGATTCTCTGCTCCAGCTGTCTGCTGATGAGTAATGATCATAAGTGAAGGGAGGAAGGTATAGATGATCTGATTAGCAAGTTTGCAGATGACACTAAGATTGGTGGAGTAGCAGATAGTGAAGGGGACTGTCGGAGAATGCAGCAGAATATAGATAGATTGGACAGTTGGGCAGAGAAATGGCAGATGGAGTTCAATCCAGGCAAATGTGAGGTGATGCATTTTGGAAGATCCAATTCAAGAACGAACTATACGGTAAATGGAAAAGCCCTGGGGAAAATTGATGCACGGAGAGATCTGGGTGTTCAGGTCCATTGTACTCTGAAGGTGTCAACGAAGGCCGATAGAGTGGTCAAGAAGGCATACAGCATGCTTTCATTCATTGGACGGGGTATTGAGTACAAGAGTTGGCAGGTCATGTTACAGATATATAGGACTTTGGTTCGACCACATTTGGAATACTGCGTACAGTTCTGGTCGCCACATTACCAAAAGGATGTGGATGTTTTGGAGAGGGTGCAGAGGAGGTTCACCAGGATGTTGCCTGGTATGGAGGGTGCTAGCTATGAAGAGAGGTTGAGTAGATTAGGATTATTTACATTAGAAAGATGGAGGTTGAGGTGGGGACCTGATTTGAGGTCTACTAAATCATGAGAGGTATGGACAGGGTGGATAGCAAGAAGCTTTTTCCCCAGAGTGGGGGACTCAATTACTAGGGGTCACAATTTCAAGGTGAGAGGGGAAAAGTTTAAGGGAGATATGCGTGGACAGTTCTTTACGCAGAGGATGGTGAGCGTCATTGAAGATGTATCTAGACAGATACATGAATGGGCAGGGAGCAGAGGGATACAGATCCTTGGAAAATAGGTGACAGGTTTAGATAGAGGATCTGGATCGGCGCAGGCTTGGAGGGCCGAAGGGCCTGTTCCTGTGCTGTAATTTTCTTTGTTCTTTTCTAACTTATACTATGAACAACTGTAAGGTAATGTAACTTTTTTTTCCTTTTTCTCCTTTATTTCTCTATTTTGTATCTAAGATTTATACCTAGCTACTTTGTACCTAAGATGCAACCATATGGGGCAACATTGTGAACTTTTAACTGTACTCCTGTACTAGAGTACAAGACAAAAGATTTTCTATTCTGTTTAATTCAGCAAATCAAGGCTCCACTTATCTGAAGAAAAACAAAAATCAGATGCAATCCCTCATTGAGAACTCACTAATACCAGAAAAGATTGTGAGAAGAAATTATTTAGCAGGCTTAAAAGTAGATAAATCACCAGGCAGCTCCTGGAGGTGAGAGTCACCGGAGGACAGCTAATGTGATATCATTAACCAAGAAGGGATGAAGGGATAAGCTGGGAAACTACTGGCAAAGGAGCCAAACATCAGTGGAAGTGACACTGTTGAAACTATTGAGGCACGGAATTAATCTCCACCTGAATTCAAATATAATCAGCTGGGCTCTATCAAAAACAGAGGATACAGAGGAGATTTAGCAGGATGTCACTGGAGTGATTCAGCTTTGGACAGATTAGACAGACTGGTATTGTTTTCCTTATAGCAAGGTGGGGGTATTCACTTGATTGAGGTGTACCAAGTTTTGAGGAGCATACACAGGGTATATAGGGAGAAACATTTCCCCTAGTACAGGAGTCAAAAACCTGGGGCATAGCTTTCAGGTAAAGAGCAGGAGGTTCAGAGGGAATTTGAGGGAAACTTTTTACACCCAGACAATGGTAGGTACCTGGATCTCTGCCTGAAAATGGTGGTAGGGTCAGGCCCCATCAAATTATTACGAAGTATTTAGATGACTTGAAATGCCATAGCATGCAAAGGCCAAGTGCTGGAAAATGGGATTAGAATAGATAGACGCTAGCTGACCAGTTGAGGACACGATTAGCTGAGTTTAGCACGTCGCAAATCTCCTCCACAGAGAGTGCCTTGTTCTTACTTTTTCCAAATTATCTTAGTCTTGTGTTTTTGTGTAATAAAGCATGCACTGAGATTGGCAGAATAGGTCAGAGAAACCATGTGGCTTGCCTGTAACATACTGTAGAATCAGCCTTTGTCAGAGTACTACACTTATAAACTAAATTATATTAACTTTTATTCTATAGGTGATCAAAATATATAAGCTTACATTGGGCTTCTGTACTTTTATCAGCAGCATGCAGGACTTTCACTGGAATGGAGAGAAACTGGTCTGTCAATGAATTGGTAATGACAAGAGTAGTTGATATTGGTCCCCGATTTATTAGCCTAGTATCAGACAAGGTTACTGTAAACTTCACGTAGCTCTGTAGTCCATAGGATTTTTCCTTTTCCTGAATGATTAGGAATGGTGATTCTGGTTTAACCTAAGGGAGAAAAGAGAATACTCCTAAGTCTTTAATAAGTAGATTACACATTCTATAGACTAGGTATAGATGGCAACAATTCATTGATCCTCATCATACATCATAGAATCCCTACAGTGTGGAAACAGGCCCTTCAGCCCAACAAGTCCATGCCAACCCTCAGAGCATCCCATCCAGACCCATCCTGCTATAACCCACCTAATCTACACCTCCCTGAACACTACAGGCAATTTAGTGTGGCCAATCCACCTAACCTGCACATCTCTGGACTGTGGGAGGAAACTGGAGCACCCAGAGGAAACCCATGCAGACACAGGGAGAATGTGCAAACTCCACACACACACAATTGCCCAAGGGTGGAATTGAACCCAGTTCCCTGGCACTGTGAGGCAGCAGTGCTAATCACTGAGCCACCGTGCTGCCCCATAGAATGATAGTTTCTACAAGTATGAAGCTGAAAAGCAAGCCTGTACTTGTTTACAATGCAAGCCATATGGGCAGCTAAACAAAATGATATCAGCGAATCTGACATTTTGCACATTTAAGGCTGGATTTCCAACCTCCCACTTCATTTTATGAGTCAAATGCTTTCTAGATAGCTCAGTAAAGGGGCAACTCAGAAACATGGTGCTGGAACCTCTTCTGGAATCCTCCAATCTGTGGAGTGGGCAGAGGTTGATAGGTTACATGCACAACTCAACATGGCACATAAATCAGACAAGAATATTGCCAATGAAGGAGAACAGAGGGGCAGGAATGTGACTTGTTCAAGAATTTCCATATCGCTGCTGTCAGGTGTCCCTCAGTTTCAGGTTGATGCCTACTCAGGGTTGCAAGTTCCTGCCATAATTCTTCACATGGCTGAATTCTTGACCAGACCTTTGGCCACATGGAACACAATGCCTTACGATTGTGGGATCTAGACTGCAGGATATGTTTCCTATTTCTTTTCTGCTATTGCTCTGCATCATGTCCAGACTTGAAGAATGACGCAGCTTGATGACCAAGTTGCCATTTCAAATAACTATTAGGGGCAGCACGGTGGCTCAGTGGTTAGCATTGCTGCCTCACAGCACCAGGGACCCAGGATCGATTCTACCCTCGGGCGACTGTCTGTGTGGAGTTTGCACATTCTCCCCGTGTTTGCGTGAGTTTCCTCCGGGTGCTCCTGTTTCCTCCCACAGTCCAAAGATGTGCAGGTTAGGTGGATTGGTCATGCTAAATTACCCATAGTGTTCAGGGATGTGTAGATTAGGTGGGTTATAGGGAGGGGTCTGGGTGGGATACTCTGAGGGTCGGTGTGGACTTGTTGGGCCAAAGAGCCTGTTTCCACACTGTAGGGATTCTATGATTCTAACTTTCTCTCAGTTGTTATCATCAGTGCTGCTGTAACTCAAAGAGAGCTTGAAGACTGTCTTTATACCATTTTCTTTACCCTGCCCTGGTACACTGGTTGTTTGAGAATAGAGAAAACAGGACTTGGCAGTGAGACTCTTTACAAGTATTTGGACACACCGTGGGGCGGCACAGTGGTTAGCACTGCTGCCTCACAGCACCTAGGACCCGGGTTCGATTCCAGCCTCGGGCGACTATCTGTGTGGAGTTTGCACATTCTCCCCGTGTCTGCGTGGGTTTCCTCCGGGTGCTCTGGTTTCCTCCCACAGTCCAAAGATGTGCAGGTTAGGTGGATTGGCCATGCTAAATTGCCCGTAGTGTTTAGGGATGTGTAGATTAGGAGGTTATAGGGTGATGGGTCTGGGTGGGATGCTCTGAGGGTCGGTGTGGACTTGTTGGGCCGAAGGGCCTGTTTCCACACTGTAGGGATTCTATGAGCATCCATCTAGCAGGAGTTTTGCTTGAATGATCCTTCCATTGAACACAGAATGGGGTGGAAAGCCTTCTTGTGTAATTACTTTGGTGTTTTACGTGGACAAGAACACAGGCCAGATCTTACTGCAGTACTGCAGAGTTTGACAACAACTTCAGTGCACTTAGCACCTTTGGATCTGTGCACCAGGACTCCATGGATCATCACCTTGACATAGTGGAGCAGGCTTGCGTGCTCTTGATGTACGCCATTGGAGCTTGTGGTCAGAACAATCATGGTAGCAATGGCAGTGGGGAAGAGTCAGAAAAAATGTGATCCAATATGTTATCAACAGCACAGCAAGTGAAGAAACACTCTCACCACCTGCGCAGGAGGAAGTCTTCCAATTTGGCACACAAGGAAAGTCATGGCCTTGCCTGTGGTAGGATTCAATAATTGTATCTGCACCTTCACACATTTCAGTCTCCACTGCTCAAGTTTCTGACGGGCAGGTATTAAAAACTGCCAGGCTACTTCAATGGTAGCACCTCCTCTCACCCACTCTCCTGCAAGAAGGCGATCCCTTATTCCCAATTCCTCTGCCTCTGCCATGTCTGCTCCCAAGATGGAGCGTTCCACTCCTGGACATCCCAGATGTCCTCCTATTTCAAGGACTGTAACTTGCCCCCCTCTGGCAATCAAAAATGCCCTCAAATGCATCTCGTGTGTTTCCCGCACTTCTGCCCTCACACCCCCTCCCCCAACAAAAATAAAGACGAGTCCACCTGGTCCTCACATACCACCCCACCAACCTCCATATCCAGCATGTCATTCTCCGTCACTTCCAACACCTACAATCTGACCCCACAACCAAAAATATATTTCCCTCCCCACCCCTATCTGCCTTTTGTAGGGACCGCTCTCTCCACGACTCCCTTGTCCGCTCCACATTCCCCACTAACCCCACCACCCCAGCATCTTTCCCTGCAACCACAGGAAGTGCTGTACCTGCCCCTACACCTCCCCCTGCCAAGGCCCAAAGCAAACCTTTCATATCTTACAGGGGTTTTCCTGTACATCCGTCAACTTGGTCTACTGTATCCACTGCTCCTGATGTGGCCTCCTCTACATCAGTGAGGCCAAGCATAGACTCGGGGACGTTTCATAGAGCATCTGCGCTCTGAACACGACAACCACCACCACCTTCCGGTTGCGAACCATTTTAATTCCCCTTCCCACTCCCTGAATGACATGTCCATCCTGGGCCTCCTCCAGTGCTACAATGACACCACCCACAAACTGGAGGAGCACCATCTTATATTCCGCCTCAGGAGCCGACAGCCCGTTGGCCTAAACATAGAATTCACCAGTTTTAAAATCTCCCCACCACCAGCCTCATGCCATGTCCAACCCTCCCTCTCATCCCTGCCTCCTTGACCTGACACAACCTGCCCATCTTCTCTCCCAACTATCCGCCCCACCCATCCCACTGACCAATCCCCACCACTCCCTACTTGCACTCACCTCTCACCATCCTACCTACCTTCCCCAGCCCCACCTCTCCTCTCTCTATTTATTTCCCAGCTCCCTTTTCCCTCCCCATTTTTGAAGAAGGGTCCCGACTTGAAACGTCAGCTTTCCTGCTCAATGCTGCCTGGCATGCTGTGTTGTTTCAGTCTACTTCAAATGTCAATTTTGCTGCTGTTTCACCGGGACAAAATTACTTCAGTATGGTATAAAGAAACCCAAAACTCTAGCACTTCGGGAAAACAGTACAAATAAGATGGGTGCAGAGTTAACTATTATTTGTTAATTAATATCTTAACTCCAGCACCAAACAAGTGCACTGAGACATACACATGGAAATAATGCAACCAAAAGCTGAAGGAAATTCTATAGTTCTGCATACTGATGTTAGATATTTAGCAAAGTCACAATTAACAATGGTATAAAATGCATACATGTATAAATTATATATTTATACACCAGTTCCTTACTTCTAGATTCCCAAGAATTTCAGGAGTTCCAAACACTGTGACTTCAGCAGCTGTATAAATGTTGCTCAAAACTATCTCCGAGTGATCAGTGTAAAAACCAGGTAAAAATGGAATGTTAGCACCAATTTGTTCTCCATTGAAATGAGCACCAAGTATCGAAGCTTTCACACTGATGGATGTTTTGGCCTTGCTAAGTACTTTCAGTTGGTGATCAGTCAATTTCTGCATTGTAATAGAGCAAATATAATGTCCTAACAAGGAAAGAAAACAATTATTCAAGTACAACTACTTCAAAAAATAAACAAATTTCTTGTCCCAACCAAAGCTTTAAAGATAGGAAGTTAATGCCAAAACTGTCTGAAAATAAACCTCAAAGTTATTCCATAAGACGGTCAAAAATCCTTGCTTTCATAATATACATCCTATTTGTTAAACGTGCTAATAAGCTACTTACATGAAAAATGAAATTAAATACCTGCATGTGTGTCAAATCCGGTTTTAACATGAAACAAATCTTCAGCAGGGATTTCTATTGCACCATTATTGAAATGCAAATTGCAAGTGATACTGGATTCAGGATGCATTTCATCAATTGCTTCAACATGTGCAGCTGTACAGGCTCCTGAAAGAGAACAAAAAACCCATTTAAAATGATTCAGACGAAAGACGACTTGTTCGTTTTAACACGTGAAACATTTCACGATATTTGGTAACTCATTTTATTTATGAAAAATCTTAATATTGTAGAGTCATAGAGGTCTACCGCATGGAAACAGGCCCTTCAGCCCAGTTTTTCACAATTAAACTAGTCCCATTTGTCTTTGTTTTGATCATATACCTCCATACTTCTCCCATCCATATACCTGTTTAAAATGTTTCTTAAGTGACAAAATTGCACTTGCTTCCACCACTCCCATTCCAGACACACCACCGTGTGGGGAAAAATTGCTGCTCTGGACCCTTTTGTACTTTTCCCCTTTCACCTTAGGCCTATGCCCTCTAATGTACCTCATCTATGCTCATCTCATCTCATTAATTTATAGACCTCGATTATGTCACTCCTCGGTCTCCTTTGCTCCAGGGAAGAAAAGTCCCAGCCTATCTGACCTCTCCTTATAACTCAAACCTTCCAATCCAGATAGCATCCTAGTCAATCTTTTCTGCACTTTTTCCAGTTCAATAATATCCTTTTATTCTAGCTAATTCCTTAATCTCAAACTTGAAGAACACTTGGTGTTCCCGCTTGTATTCTCCCAAAAGACTGTCCTCCTCCAATAGTTCTCCCATTGAGCCAGCCAGCTGAATGACACTGCACTCATCTGATTCTGTTCTTAAGTATCAAATAGCCACCAGAGAATAATCTGCAAAGGCTTCTCTTCCTGCCCTTGGTGTCCAACAAGAATGTAGTTTGGCCTGGCCTTTTCATCTGTGCCTGCCTCTCTGCAAAATCACAGATCACAGTTTGCACATGGCACTAGTGAAACTTGGCTCACCGCCACCTCTCAAAACTTGCTGCTTTCTCGCAAGTGGCAGACTGGATACACAGAAATGTGCTCTGTTAAAATATTAGAAAGGAGGAAGATGTTGTCTTTCATTCCCACCACAAACTGCATTGCTTAGTCTATCACTCCAATACTTTCCCTAGCAAATGATCTAAGATAGTTCAGAATCTTGGTTTCATAAATATCCTCAAGATGGACTTTCACCTTTATAAGGGCACTATCTCCATTGCCAGTCAATTATATCACTGGCCTCTGCTAATCTGCAGTTGAAATCTTCATCCACACCTTTGTTACATCTAGACTTAATTATTTCAACAAGCAGGAGGTCAACTGCCCACATTCAAATAGCTGTTAGACTTGGTGAATCAGGAAACATTAGTAACACTCTTCCTTTAGCCCACGAATTGTGGCTTTCAGTTCAACCCCAATCTATCAACACAGTACATAGGTAGTCATTAAGATTGGAAACCAAGGCAGACTGACGTACAATCTAAAAGTTCTCATACACTAGAAAAATAAATATTTACCTTTCAAATTAGTGCTGCTGTCTCCTGTGGTAACGGAGACCTTGAATGGTGCAGTATCAGATTGGCTTGTTAGAAAAGCATCACCCTGCACTTGTGCAACAGTCTTCCAGGCACTCTTGACCACCAGCTGGAAAACAGATCAACATTTAGCTAAGTTAATATTTACAAGAACGAGGAAAATGACTAAGTCATCAGCTCTTTGAGACTTTTTATCTCCAACACCATCATGTCCGAGATTCAACCGTAACTCTATCATTCCACAGAGGTGTTAGGAAGCACTTCTATACACAAAGGGTGGTAGAGGTTTGGAACTCTTTTGCACAAACAGGGGCCGATGCTAGATCAGATTAATTTTAAATCTGACATGGATACATGTTTGTTAAACAAAAGCTTTAAGGGATATGGACCAAAGCCAGGTATATGGAATTAGGCCACAGACCAGCCACAATCCCACAGAATGGTAGAGCAGGTTCAAGGGACTGAATGACCTGCTTATGTTTCTATCCCTATATACTCAAATATTAAAAATCTGTTGACTTTCCCAGAGAGGGGGAGGTCGAGCCCAGCATGTCACGGTGCTTACGAACTGTGGTGTTGAACTGTTTCAGTGTTTTTGTTTTTCTACATTTTGAACTTTGTTTTCTTTGTTTTTCTACTTTGTGCCAAGATTCTGTACCTAGGTACCTTTCTACCTAAGATGGCACTGTAAGGTGCAACTTGTAAACTGATCACTGTACTCATGTGAGTACACGTGATGATAAACCCAATTCAATTCAATGTATCTATGTTGTATCTGTCAAAGCCAAAATATTCTTCGTTGGGTTAACAGCCCAAAATTGTACCCACTAATGTCACCGAGAACTTAGCTAATTGGAAAATTTCTTTTCATCTTATACTTAAATCCCTTTATAATAAAGCAGATGTGGAACTTTCCAATCATTGCCATACTTGCAGGTTAATGTACAAGAACACCTAGTTCCAAAATATATAAAAAGTAAAAAATATTCTTTTCTATTCTCCTCCAAAGTAAATACTTTCACACATCCTCACTGTAATGGTAATGACTTTAATAGAGAGATGTTCAGTCCTGTTTCTCTTGCAGACGGGTGTTGTCACAGTGGTGCCAAACTATATCCTGCAGACAGGCAGTTGGGAAACTGCTTTGAGGTCTCCCTGGGTGATTTTTTTTTTTTTTAAAAAGAAGTAATGTCCAAGTATCATGACTGGGCAGGGTCAGGCTCTCTCAGACTAAGATGACTTTTAGTTTAGTTTTCAGAGAGTCGAGTAGGTTTTTGCTGGCTGCTGGACCTGAAAGCTCAAGGTCTCTCCTGCTAGAGTGAAGTCTTAGTCAGAGGCATCCTCTTAAGAATCAAAAAGGGGCAGATGGTTTCTTTAATTCTTTCTCCTGGATTGGACAGACCCAGCATGTGAGAATGATAACTATGTTACTGAATTGCCTCTGCCAATGGTGTGTTTATGGGATGCTGCCTATATTGGAACAGTTGATGAATAGAATTCAATCCAGAGTAATAAATTATCTCTAATCTCATGAACCTTGTGTACAATAATCTCTTGCAATGGCACCTCATTAGATTTTTTTTTTTTTTTTAAGTATATTAGAAATCACAAGCAAGGGAAGTGTGGTAGATTTTCAGCTAGTATAAAGTATCTAAACAATATAGATACTGGTAAGATGATTATGTACCTATTTCACAGCTATAGTACAAATATATCCAGAATATATATATTTAAAGATGATGTGTTTTACAATAAAGAAGCCGAGAGAGCCATTGGAGAATTGAACAATACAAGTTGGTGGCCTTAAGCATTTAACACCATCTTCATGCACATTTTCAGACTGGAATTTTAATCACACAATATGATTAATATTTTTTCAACATTTTTCTATCACTTCAATTATCTTTTGTTGCCTTTCTTAAAGGAATATAGTTTGCCACTGGTTTTACTTGTCACACTACATGGCTGGTTCCTGTGTTGGGTTTAGATATGAAGAGGCAAGTGCAGGAATCATATTACTTATGATTTTATGATGAAATTGATTCCTATTGAACAGAAGGCCAAAGAAATTCAGAACGTGACAAATTTGCTGCTTGCCAATCTTTGAATTGGAAGAACAATCCAACATGTAAGAAGCATAAAAGTATATAAAAAAGCTTAAAATTTACAAGGCAGAACAACCAGGTGTTTTAGTAATTTTTTTTTAAAATTACCATTATTACGGTTTTCGTATTGCTGGAGAACTAACTATGCTTTAAAATGAGAGCAGAATGAGCACTGGCTATATTTCTGTGCTCGATAACTCTGCTACTCTATAACTCTGCAGGTTAAGGGGCAGTGATCTATGACCTACGTCAAAGGAGATGTTTTAAGGGGCCAACCAAGTGTTTCAACTGCTGAAAGTTAGCTCACCCAAATTAATGCAAACAAATTACATTAAAAGGTCTCTTTTTGTCAGAAAGGACGTCAACCAATTTGGTAATGATCACTGTTACCAAATTGGTTGATGTCCTTTCTGACAAAATGCTCTAAATGCAACTTGTCAGTTTGATTGGATCTTCAGTATTTTGAGGCTTTAAAAATGCAAGTCAAACTAAATTATATTGAAATTAAACAGTTCATTAAATGAGGTCAATGCTAAGCATCCAGCATGTAGGCCCAAAGTTTGGCAGTGAAACTGTTAACATTTGTCATCATTACTCCACTAACATTAATAGCACATCTTGGGTCCCCACATGCACAGAATGATGTGGCAGTCCAGAAGCTACGAGTGGGTCTAGGCTTCAAGAGGTTGGACTGACAAAGTCCCCATCCACCTGTAAAAGACTGTAATATATGGATGTAAAATTATGAGAACTTTCATTTACAGTATTTGATTTGCTGTCAAAACCATTTCCAATGTTGCATTTAGGTGAATAAGGTGTAACTGGGTGTTACTGGATGCACACTAACTTCATTATTACAGCTAAATGCCCTCAGCGGTTCTGAAAAATTAATGCCATATACGTCAATGTCAAGTTTCTCCACAAATGATTTTATTTTTTTTAAAATAAGCTTTCATAACTTAGGCTAATCCAACGATTTAGTTCAATTTCTGAAATTTTAAATTAAAAAAGTGAAGGATATCAAGCCTTTTTAACTTCCTGGTTTGTTGTATGCAAATACTTTAATGATGATTAGCTCCTTAACTGCTTGCTAACATTATTTCCTCTGCATTAAGATAGCCCCTCAATTCAGTGCAAGGTATAAAGTGCCATTAGGGAAGGGTAACCAAGTCAGAGTTTGCTCAGATTTTATGGACAGGTTTCTTTGAGGTCTGTGGCAAGTATTTTTACTTTGTTGCTGACCACAAAATCCGAACTGCAGCTTTGGTCGTCTACTACAAGAATTTCTATATATTAAAAAAGGATTCATGGAAGAATGATCAGGATGTTCCAGCTCATGGGTGACTAATACAAGGATCAAGCAAATCTACTGTGTTGGAGGTAAGATTAAGGGAAATCATACTTGACATGGTTAGAGTCAGTAAAATTCCTTCTTCTTGTAAGATAGTCATTACATAGTACACACTCCAAGATGAAATAACTGATTTGGAATCAATTAGCATCTCTAAGTACATGAAGGAGGAAAATTAAGGATTATAAAAATGTTCATATTGCTTTATTGACAACATAGCCAAAAAAAATAAGTCTTGCAAGTTAGGCAAGGAGGGACATTCAGTATAAAGACTTGACTTTGATATTTTTATAGTGCCCAAAACACTTCAGGACATTGAGGAACCTTGCAAGTGAAGCCACTGGAGTCTTAAGGCATGGAAACAGAACCTTTGGTCCAACTAGTCCATGCCAACCACGTTCCCATCTGAACTAGTCTCACTTGCATGCATTTGGTCCACATCCCTCCAAACCTTTCCTATTCATGTATTTATCCAAATGTTCTAACCGTACCTATATCCACCAATTCCTCTTGCAGTTCATTCCACTAATTACTCTGTGTAGATAGAATGTGCTTGAAAACGTGACTGCCTTTTCACTCCACTTGATTGGATATGGTTGTGTTAAGTAAACTCCCCCTGCTCCAGTTATTTGTGGCTGAATTCAGTTGTAAGTTCCACACTGCGTTATTCACTATTTCAAGGTGCAAATGGTTCTCATAAATTATACATATTATTGGAACTTCACAAGTACAGTGTTGAAATATATTTCCTGTTAGTTGGCTGGGAATATACCAATTTAAAAGGGAGTAATCTATAAAAGATGGTCAAAACAAAGCAAAACCCATTCTCAACATGTGTCCCTCATCACCAAAAGGGTTTATTTTTTACCTCCTTGTAGGTTTTAAGATGTCCTGGTACTTCATAAAATACAGTGACAGATCCAGAATCTCTTGCAACTGCTGTGCCAGTCTTTGGGTTAATCTGTAGAACATTACTGGAAGATGAACTCCAAACTCCTAACTGAACTGCAGGAACAAACAAAGTTCTGATTTTCATCACGTACTTGTATATTAAGTATACACATGATCTCAAACAATGTTTAATGTACTTACTTTCTTGATTAACCAGATTACTGCTAAAACAGATGACATCACCGACCACAATTTCTCTCAGCAAGTTCGGATAGATGAAATGCTCAACAGGCAGAGGAACATAATCCGCTATTCCGGTATGCTCTGTGTCCCAGACTCTCAGCAAAGTGAGCCCCACATTCACAGTCCTTATTGTAAAAGTATTATTACTGGTTCCTTTGCCAATTTGCAGTAGGTCATCCCTTCAGAAATCAAAATCATGAGAAAAGATGCAATGAAATGAATACATTGTATTTATATTTCGTGCTTTCCATCATTTTCAACAAAAGTGAAACATCTTCTGCAGTATCAGGTTGAATTTTGTGTTCAAAAGAATCCTGAGACTCAATGAATTTGTTGGCAGAGTTCAGGAACAGGAACATGGTTTGAGCCAATGTCTGACAGTATTAACAGAGACTTAGAGTTTAAAAGACACAAGGGAGAGGAGACATTGGCAAAATAAGGTCAATCAGACCTTGATCATTTTCAGATCATTGGGCAACATCAACTACTATGTTCATTGCCAGTCAATTCCTCTGTTAAAGCATTTGGGGAGTTTGCTGACTTTTAGCCTTTAGTAAACAGTAACTACCAAACACAATGAAAAATTACCTTATAAATACATGACATTAATCTTTTACGCAGGTTCCAAGTTTACATTCAAAACAAAGAGAGATGTGCTTTAAGTCAATAACTGCTGCGATCAATTAAAAGCAAACTAATCATTCAAATTACAGGGCATGTGCCTTTGGTTGGCTAAAGATTATTGGAAACAAGAAATCATACCTTGAAAACATATACACTTGTAGAAAATGAGAAAGCTTGGTTGGAGGAAAACAATGGCAGAAAGAAAAATAAATTTGACCCTTCAGCCCTGCTTCACCATTCTTTACGATCATGGCTGATCAAACTGTTCCTGCTTCTTCCCCACATTTTTTGATCCATTTAGCCCTTGGTTCTGGACTCACCATTCATCAGGAACGTCCTTCCTGCATCTACCCTGTCTTGTCCAGTTAGAATTATCAAGGTTTCTATGAGATTCCCCTTTTATTGTTCTGAACTTCAGCAAATAGAATCGTAACTGATTCAATTTTCCTCATGTGTCTGGGAGGGATGCCAGGAATGTCTGGTAAACCTCTGCTGCAGTCCCTTCATAGCAAGAGTGTCCTTTCTCAGATTAGGAGACCAGAACTGCACATAATATTCTAGATATGGTCTCAGCAAGGCCCTATATAATTGCTGCAAGCCATCCCCATTTCTATACTTGTATCCACTCAGTATGAAAGCCAACACACCATATGCCTTATTAGCTGCCTGCTGCACATGCATGCTAACCTTCAGTGGCTAGTTTGAGGACACCTCGGTCTTGTTGTACATTGACTGAGAGTCATAGTCATACAACATGGAAACAGACCCTTTGGTCCAACTAGTCTACACCAACCACATTCCAAAACTAAACTAGTCCCACTTTCCTGCATTTAACCCATATCCCTCCAAACCTTTATCCAAACATCTTTTAAATGCTGTAACCGTACCTGCATCCACCACTTCCTCTGGCAGTTCATTTCTCACAAGAACCATTCTGTTTGAAAAAAGCTACCCCTAATATTCTTTTTAGAACTTTCTCCTCTCACCTTAAAAATATGCCCCTCACAATTTCACTACTCAACCTTCTACACTCCAGTGAATCAAGTCCAAGCCTAGTCAGCCTTTCCTTACAACTCAAACCCTCCATTCCTGCCAACATCCTGGTAAATCTTTTCTGAACCCTCTCCAATTTAATAATATCCTTCCTATAGCACGGTGACCAGAACTCCAGAAGAGGCCTCAATGTCCTGTACAACCTCAACATGATATCCCGACTCCTAAACTCAAACGTCTGAGCAACGATGGCAAATGTGCTAAATGCCTTCTCAACCACCCTGTCTACCTATGATGCAAATTTCAAACAAATATGTACCTGAACCCCTCAGTCTCTCTGCTCAAGAGCACTACCTAGGGCCCTATCATTAACTGTACAATTCTGCCCTTATTTGTTTTACCAAAATGCAATACCCCTCATTTATCCAAATTAAACTTCATCTGCTACTCCTCAGCCCATTGACTCAATTCAGATAATAATTTGCCTTCCTTTTTGCTACTCAAGTGAATAACCTTACATTTATTCACATTATTCTGAATATGCCACACATTTACTAGCTCACTCAGCATGCCCAAAATACACTGAAGCATCTCTGCATCCTCCTTTCAGCTTTGTGTCATTTTCAATTTTGGAGATATTACATTTAATTCCCTCATCTAAATCATTAAATATATACAGTGAATAACTGGGGTCCTAGCACTGATTCTTGCAGTATCGCACTAGTCTTTGCTTACCATTTAGAAAAAGACCAGTTTATCAATACTTTTTGTTTCCTGTCTGCCAACGCAGTTTTCTATCCATCTCGATGCACGACACCCAATTCCATATGCTTTAATTTTACATGCTAATCGCTTGTGGGAATTTGTTGAAAGCCTTCCAAAAGCCCAAATAAACCATACCCACTTGCTCCCCCTCATCAAATCTACCAGTTACATCCTTGAAGATTTCCAGTAGATTTGTCAGGCATGATTTCCCTTTGTAAATCCATGCTTTGTCTGATCCTGTCACTGTTTTCCAAATACTGAGCTATTAAATATTTTATAATGGACTCTAGCATTTTATCCATTACCAACATCAAGCTGATGTCAATTCTGTTTTCTCTCTGCCTCCCTTTTTTTTTTTTTTTTAGAAAAGAGAGGGGTTACATTAGCTACCGTCCAATCTGTAAGAATTGTACCAGAGGCTAAAGAATCTTGGATGATGACTACCAATGCATCCACTATTTCCAGGGATGCTTCCTTATGGACTCTCAGGTATAGATTATCAGGGCCTAGGGACTTATTGGCCTTAATCCCATTAAATTTCCCCAAACATCATTTCTCTACTAAGAGAGATTTTCTTCGGTTCCTCTCTCTCATTAAACCTTGTGTTTCCAAGTGTTTTCTGGTATGTCGTATGTCCCCTATTAATTGGCATGTCAGCCATTACAAATTCCCCTCTTTTTGACTGCAACGGACCTACGTTTGTCTTCAATTTATTTTTCTTCACTTAGAAACTTTTACAATCAGTTTCTGATATGTCCCCACGAGCTTCCTCTCGTACTCTATCTTCCCTTACTTAATCAATCCCTTTGTCCTCCTTTACTGAATTCTGAACTGCTCCCACTCCTCAGGTTTGTCATTTTTACTTACCAATTCATATGCCTGTTTCTTGGATCCAATACTGTCCCATTTTACTTTTGGGACAAAAACAGTAATTAATGTTCACCCATTTGTTCTTTGAAGGTTTGCCAATGTCTTTCTGCCAGCATCCCTTTAAATAACTTCTCTAATCTATCATAGCCAACTCACGCTTCGTACCACTGTAGTTTCCTTGATTCTGATTCAGGGCCCTTGTCTCAAAATCAACTATGCCACTCTCCACCTTGATGAGGAATTCTATCATATCATAGTTGCTCACCCCAAGGGGCCTTACCCAACCAAACAGCCAATTATTTCTTTCTTGTTACATAATGCCTAGTCTAGGATAGGATGTTCTCCAGTTGGTTCTTCAATGTATTTATCCAGAAAAGCATCCCATATGCAGGAATTCTCCTCCACGGTATTGCTACAAATTTGATTTGCTCAAACTACCAGAGTAAAGTTACCCATAATTGCAAATGTTTCTTTATTGCATGCATTTCTAATTTCCTGCTTAATGCGATTCCCAACATCATCCCTATTGTTCGCAGGTCTAAGTCTAAGACAAGAAGCCAATTAATAAAAAGTCGTCTTCAATATTATCCACTTTTTTTTCCCCTTAGTAACTGCCACAATAACATGATGAAATGTAGTCAGGGAATTGCAGACAAGTCAAGTCAGAGCGAAAAAGTTTGATGGCAAGGAACATGGCTGGTTTACTGCAGCCTAATGATTCATTACTGGCCACTGAGAATATGGGTTCCAGTCTTTGACAGTCCTCCTGCTCCTGTAGAGATTAAATGCTGCCACCTCTGATTGTGCTAGATCCCAGCAACCAATAATACCATACATTTCCAATGCTCCAATATCAAGTTTAATCCTGTGGAACTGAGAACTGCTACTGTCCTCACATCCTACCCAATGTCCACTATCAAACTATGACCAAAAACTAGAACCCAGGTCTCCCATATGCTCACTGATCCCCAAAACAGAGTCTAGTAAACAATCATCCCAAAAAGCATGCCAAATCTTTTAGACTCTGAAAGCTCTATTCCCACTGCTAATGGATTCCATTGTCTTAGATATGACGAGCTCGTATATATCTTTTGCATAGAACTACCTTCTCCATATCTTAAAGGACCTGGGTCTGCAACAGGTGGTGATGAGGGAACCAGTGAGTGGGGAAACATATTTATAACTTCATCCTCAATTTGCCTGCCACAGATACATCTGTCCATGACAGTTACAGTAAGAATGACCACCACACAATCCTTGTGGACGACAAAGTTGCACCTTCACATTGAGAATACCCTCCAAGTTGTGTGGCTCTATCACCATGTTAAATGGAAAAGACTTTGCACAGGTCCAGCAACTCAAGACTGGGCATCCACAAAGGTGCTGAGCCATTAGCAGCAGCAAAATCATACTCCACCATAATCTGCAACCTTATGGCCCAGCATATACCTCACCATTATACCATTACCATCAAGCTACAGGATCAACCCTAGTTCAATAAAAAAGAGTGCAGGAGGTCATGCCAGGAGCAGCACCAAACATACCTAAAAATGAAATGTCAATCTGGTGAAACTACTAACAGGACTACTTGCATGCCAAACAACCTGAGCAGCAAATGATGGACAGAAACAAGTGATTCTAGAATCAATGGATCAGCTCTGTAGACCTGCCACATCCAGCCAAGATTAGTGGTAGACAATTAAACAGCTCACTGGAGGTGCAGATATCCCTATCCTTAATGATAGAAGAGCCCAGTACATCTGTGCAAAAAATAAGGCTAAAGCATTCACAATAATATTCAGGTAGAAGTGCTGCATGGATGATCCATCTCACCCTTCTTTAGAAGTCCCCAGCACACAGATATCTGTCTTCAGCTGATCTGATCCATTCCATGTAATATCTAGAAAAGATGGAGGCACTGAACATGCAAAGGCAATGAGACTTGACAACCTTCTGGTAATAGTACTGAAGACTCATGCTCTTGAACTTGCTGCATCCCCAGCTAATCTGCTCCAATACAGCTACAACACTAGCAAGAACCTGATAGTGTAGAAAATTGCCCAGGAAAAGCTGAACAAATCCAACGTAGCCAACTGCTGGCCCATCAGTCTACTCTTGATCATCAATAAACGGATAGAATGTATCATTAACAGTGCTACCAAGCAGCACTTGCTTAGCAACCTGCTCACGGATGTACAGTTTGAGTTCTACCAGACAATTCAGTTTCTAACCTTATTACAGCCTTAGTTAAAACATGGACAAAAGAGCTGAATTTCAGAGGTTAGGTGATAGTGACTGTCCTTAACGTCAAGGCTGCATTTGACCAGTGGGGCATTTAGGAACCCCAGAAAAATTGAAATCAGTGGGATAACTCTCCACTGCTTGGATTCAAATCTGGCACATAGGAAGTTGGTTTTGGTTGTTGGAGGTCAGTCATTTCAGCTCAAGGACATCTCTCAGATATTTCTCAGGGTAGTGTGCTCAGCCCCACCACCTTCAGTTACTTCATCAATCTTCCCTCCATCATAAATTCAGAAGTGGGTATGTTCACTGATGATCGTATGATGTTCAGTGCCATTTGCGACTCCTCAGACACTGAAGCAGTCCATGTTCAAATGCAGCTAGATCTGGATAATAGCCAGGTTTGGGCTGAAAAGTGGCAAGCAAAGTTGGTGCCACACAATTGCCAGGCAACAATCATCTGCAACAGGACAATCTGGTCATTGCCCTGTGACACTCAAAGGCAGTACCACAATGGAATTCTACATTAACAACATCGTGGGGATTACCATTGGCCAGAAACTGTACTGAATTAGCCATATAAAGTGTTTAAAAGAGCAGGTCAGAGGCTAGGCATCTTGGAGCAAATAACTCACCTTCTGACTCCCCAAAGCCTTTCCACCATCTACAAGACAAGTCAGAAGTGTGACGGAATACTCCCCAATTGCCTGGATGAGTGCAGCTCCTGCAGAACTGGAGAAACTTCACACTATCCCGGACAAAGCAGCCTGGTTGACTGGCATCAATCCACAAACATCCACTCCCTCCATCACTGATGCTCAGTAGCAGCATATACCGCCTACAACTGTACTGCAGAAATTCACCAAAGCTCCTTACACATCTCCTTACAATCACTTCCACCTTGAAGGACAAGGGCAGCAGATACACGGGAACACGAACTCAAAATTCCCCTCCAACCATTCTCAGAAGAAAATATGTTGTCATTGGGTCAAAATCCTAGAATTCCTTTCTCAACAGCATTGGGCTGTACCCACAGCACATCGACTGTAGTGGTTCAAGGTAGTAACTTATCACCATCCTCTGAACGGCAATTCGTGACAAGAACTAAATACTGGCCGAGCCAACAGCACCCACATCCCATGAGCGAATACAAAAAAAGTCCCTGGTACTATGGAAGAGGCAAGACTCCACCTCAGTAGTAGAAGACTTTCCATCACTCGTATGGCCAATCCCAATACTGTTGCGTTGGTGTCCCAGTAATACTACCTTCTTGACATCTTTGACTCATCATGAGCAACATCGCGAGAGACTCAACAAACTCCCAGAACAATATGTCAAACATACACAAACACAAAATGTGATTTAATCCAATTTCACGAAGTAAACACAAATAGAGTACACAAGTTGCTAATCCTGTGGTTAACACTGAATTTATGTATTACTCTGAGGTTCTGAAATAAGTTAATTTTTAAATCCACAAGCACCACAAATATTAGCTATCAATGTGTTTTAGTTTAATTTAAACATGGATAACTAGTAATGACCATCATTTGCTTACCTGTTCGTAGCATAGTTTACTATTGTATTCTGTGCATGGAAGATGGCACCAGAATGGTCATGGAAATGAACAGTCAGAGTCAGAGTTATGCCCACAGGTATGGCTGATGGAGGTTCCTTGTTAAGTGTATGTATTGCTGGACTTGTGCTGATTCTTAGGTAAGAAACAGGTGCAACCTATACGGATGGACATCACAAAAAAAATGAAAAGAGGGCATCTTGTGGCACATTAGTTATGTCCAGATCTCTGAGCCAGAAGACCCAGGTTCAAGTCCCACCTGTTTCAGAGGTGATTAATAACATTTCTGATCAGGCTGATTAGAAAATATCTAAAAAGTGAACACTTTACATAATACCACAACTTAATTTTTCATGGTACTATTTGAAGGTAAAACAAAACTTAGGATCAGCAAAGTGGAGTTACAGACCTGAGGAACAAAAGCTGTCTGTCTAATTTCTAAAGTTTCTATCACTTCAAAAGTGGTCTAAATTGTGAGGTTCTAGCAGAGATATTTGTATCATTGATAGCCACAAGTGAGGTGCTGAAGGACTGGACAGTGGCTAATGCTGTGCCTTTATTTACGAAAAGCTGCAAGGAAAAGCCAGGCAACTACAGACTGTGACCCTGACGTCAGTGGTGGCTAAGTTGTTGGAGGGGATTCAGAGACACAGGACCTACATGCGTTTGGAAAGGCAAGGACAACATGACAAAGTCAACATGGCTTTGTGCGTGGCAAGTTCTGTCTCACAAACTTGATTGAGTTTTTCTGAAGGGGTGACCAAGTTGAGAAATGAAGGCAGAGCAGTTGACGTCGTCTACATGGAACTTAGAAAGGCCTTTGACAAAGTTCTGCAATCTGATTAGTAAGGTTAGATCACATGGGATCCAGGAGAGCTAGCCAACTGGATAGAAAATTGACTTGACAGTAGGAGACAGAGGGTGGTGGTAAAGAGTTGTTGGTCAGATTGGAGGTCTGTGACCAGTGGTGTTCTGCAAGGATTAGTGCTGGGTCCACTGTTATTCATCATTTATATTCTCATTCTAATTGATGATAAAAGAGGCATGGTTAGTAAGTTGGCAGATGACACCAAAATTAGTGGAATAGTAGACACTGAAGCTTAGTTAAGCATACAATGGGATCTTTATCAACTGGACCAGTGGGCCGAGGAACGGCAGGTGGCGTTTAATTTAGATAAACGTGAGATGTTGCATTTTGGTAAGACAAACCGAGGCAGGAATTATACAGTTAATGGTAGGGCCCTGGGGAGTGTTATCAGACAGAGAGAGAACTAGGGGTGCAGGTACATAATTCCTTAAAACTGGCATCACAGGTAGGTTGGTGAAGGTGGCATTTGGCATGCTTGCCTTCATTGGTCAGAGCACCGAGTACAGGAGTTGCAACATCATGTTATGGCTGTACAATATAAGGCCATATTTCGTGTACTGCACACAGTTCTGGTCACCCTGCTGTCGGAAGGATGTTATTAAACTGGAAAGGGTGCAAAAAACATTTGCAAGGATGTTACCAAAACTGGAGAATTTGAATTATACGGACAGGCTGGGATTTTTTTCTTCCCCAGGAGAGTAGGAGGCAGAGGGGTGGCCATATAGAGGTTTATAAAATCATGAAGGGCATAGATAATGTGAATAACAAGGTTCTTTTCCCCAGGGTAGGGGAGTGCAAAACTAGAAGGCATAGGTTTAAGGTGAGAGGGGAACAATTTAGAAGGGAATGGAGGGGCAACTTCTTCACTCAGAGTGGTGTGTGTATATATATGGAATAAGCTGAGAGAGGAAGTGGTAAAGGCAAATACAATTACAACATTTAAAAGACATTTGGACAGGTACATGGATTGGAAAGGTTTAGAGGGATCTAGGCCAAATGCAGACAAATGAGACTAGTTCGGTTTAGGAAACCTGGTTGGCATAGATGAGCTGGCCTGAACGGTCTGTTTCCGTGCTTTATGACTATGACTCTAATTTTCTATTGCTCCACCAATTTTATCATTGCAAAATTATGAAGATCATTATTGCCTCAAATAATTTGGAAAGTCTTGAGCAGAAACTAAGAATATTTCTCAAAAATATTGAGTTATTAAAAAACAGTTCAATTCGTACATTTAATCATAATATACTTACCTTAACAGCAACTGTGATTGTCTGGTTTATTCCAAACTGCTCTTCAGAGATCACTTCAATTGTTGAAATCCCTGTTATTGGACCAGATGTCAGAAGTCCATTTTCATCCATTTGTACCACAGGAGTTTTTTCCAAACAGTCTTGTACTCGATAACTGAGAAAGGCCACACCATCTCTGCCAATCAACAAACATTGATATGAGGAATTAAAATTAATTCCAAGTTGCTAAACAAAGGTGATTTTTTAAATGTGAAATTCAATTATTTGCAAACTTCCCATTTAAAGTATTCACCATTCATCTATGATAATGCACAGTCGTACACATTTTCTTCAAAACTAAACGCATAGAGTTGGATGTGGTACACAAGTTTTGGAACCTCAGAATTGTTACACTGCAGAATTAGACCAGTGTGTCTGCACTCGCTGAGCATTTCAACTCGGTGCCAGTCTCCTGCCTTTTTGCTTGTAACCCTTCACATTATTCAAATAGAAACCATTAGTCAATGCACTCAAATGTTTTTAGCCTTCTTTGAAAGGGCATGAATGATCAAGAAAATTAGCAGCATGTGACAGATAGAAATAATCTATTTGTTCAGTGCAAAGTCCAGACTTTTGGGATTTATGTTTGTTAAACAGTATCAGCATTGCACTCTAGCAATGGATCTGTGGCCCAGTCTGTCACAACGTAGGAGCAACCTTTGGGAGGCAATAAATTTCAGGAGACAAGCAGAGTTCAGGCATGTGGTAATTTATTCAAGCATCTAATGGTACAATGCAGGAAGAGGCCAAAGATCACCCCAATCTGGCCTCAACCCAAAGGTTCAATTACTCCCTTAACCTGCGGCTCAGATCAGAAGAAAAGTCAATGACACTATAATTTTAAATACAAGCAAACTTTTTTTTTTTTTTAATATACATACTCCCTCCCCCTGTATACTATTTGCTGGGTTGTCTAACTTAGATTGGGTTTTTAGTACTAATGTAGAGTGATGTAAGTGCATAGTACTGTGATCTGATTGGGCCATTTTGGTATGAGAGACGTTGAACTTTCCATGGTCACTTGTGACTTTTATTTCTCAATTATGACATCTGTGCCTGCAACAGAGGCTTTTTTGAGATTTCCCACCATTCCGACTCTCTCAGATGCCATCCTTGTTCAGAGATATGCAGGCCTCTCTCCATTACTCGTAATTAGAAAGAAAGGTTTTAAAAACTAGTGTTTTGTTTAGTGATTTTTATATTATATGTAATATATAGTGTGTGTAATTTATTTGGAAACTATATGTTGAAGAATCTTAATTGATTAGAAAAAACTTGAGAAACAACATTGATGTGAAGTGTTCTTATCTGGGAAGGCAGCACTTAAATCTTACTTAAACAGACAGCTATTGTTTTAAGTGCTGAGAACACAAGTCTTTCCCACACACGCTAATTTCTGATAAACATGTACTACAAAGCTTTGAGGTTTTTGTCAGCCATTTTACGCTGTTCTGTCATGGGCAGCCCTAACACCTAGAAATCGTCCTGAGGAAGGTATTTAAGTATGGCCTTACAATCCCTCCAATGAATAATGCAGCTTTATTTGTAAATATCAAGTGATACATTTCACTACTTAAAACTGGGCCTCACCATTCTGGTCATGGGCCTTACCATCTCATCAGCATTCCTTCCTGATCTGTTGAGTATCAAAACTGCTGCTCTGGAATTTTCTAATGATCATTCAGATTGGTACTCAAACAATTCTGTGAATTCTAAGTCTAAACTCCTTTCTTCGGAACATGAATGAACTAGCTTACATGAAGTAATGAAGTTGCTGCACAAATAAATGTTTGAGCATCAAGGTATGTATTTACCTTATCCAATAGTTGAAGACAGTCAATATCAATAACTACGTTCTGAACCCAACAGCCTCCTGTATGTCCAAATCATCTTTGCAAAACTGCACGTGTATACATTTAAACCACATACAGCATCCACCAAACCCTCAGTAATTGGAGCATTCAGGTAAGTGTACCAGCCTTATTAGGACACTCATTTGCAATTTTTTACTTAATGACCAATGTAGGCATTCATAAACCTTTAAACAGGTTCCTGGTCTGTGTTCTTAAATCGTTTTCATCAAGAACCCCAACAGAATTTGATTTATAAGTTTTCTATTTTCTACTTCGAGTTCAATAACTCAGTTTATCGATTGCTTTGTTCTCTCATTTCTTGTTGCTCAGGCCAATTTAAATTTTTGATTTTACTTTTGCACTGGTCAGAAATGAATAAGTGCGCTCTTGCTGGCTTTATTCTGTGGCACAGAGAATAGTCCTTAATGTTTCTAGTATCACTAGGCTCAGAGTTTTACTCATTCGATCTCAGACAGAGAATGCCACCTATGAAGAGCACAGTAAGGGTATCTTTTCCACACAGATTGCTGCAGTTCAAGGGGTGAACCACAATACTTTCTCAACAGCAATCACATTTGAGCAATAAGCAGTTTTCTTGTTATGTCTAAATTCCAAGAATGATTTTTAAAAAAGCATTCATACTGATCATTAAATTATTTCTCATTTTTGTAATCAAGAACTTAGGAACAGGAGTAGGCCATTCAGCCCTTCGAGCCTGCTCCACCATTCATTAAGATCATTGCCGATCTGTGGTCTAACTCTGTATGCCTGTCTTGGGGCCCGTATCCCTTGATACCCTTACTTGACAAATTTTTGTCGCAGGTTTAAATTTCACAATTTAATTTGCACTGACCAAATTGCAGTGGATGCTAGATCAGTTGGTAATTTTAACAAAAATTTATCGATCTTGTTTAAGCAAAGGTATTAAAGGATCTGGAGCTCGGTTATAGGTCAGCCATGGTCTTATTGAATGATAGAACAAGCTCGAGGGGATGAATAGCCTATCTTGTTCATGTGTTCGTATCCATGGAGAGAAAGCAGAGTTAACATTTTGAGTCCAGTGACCCCTCTTAAGAATGACTTCAGATGTTTCCCCCCTCGAAAAAATGCATAAAAAGCAACTAGTCAGCCTCAATACAGTGAGTCAGTGTGAAAATAAGTGGTGTAACCCTGGCTCCCAGTCACTGGGAAGGCACTCCACCCTGCCAGACCTGCTGAGTTTCTCCAGCAATTCCTGTTTTTTGTTTCAAATTTGCAGCACCTGCTATTGTTTGTTTTATTTCACATTGTCCATTTTGTCTTGTAATTCTGAGCCTCCCCTTCACATTCTAGCTTCCAATCTGCTGTTGTAACTGCAGTCTTTACGTGTGTGCGCCAGTCCCCTTTCTGGCCAGTGGTAATCCCTGTGAATGTGATAGTGGGGAATTCACCAATAGAAATGCCGATGAATGTCAAGAGACATTCTTAGATTCTCTCTTGTTTGAGACTGTCATTGCTTGGCACATGTGTGGTTAAACTTGAATGCTATCTTGGCCCTACTGCATAGGCTGGGGCTATTTTCCTGGAGCATTGGAGGCTGAGAGATGATCTCATAGAAGTTTATAAAATCATGAGGGGCATGGATAGGGTGAATAGCTAATAGCTTTTCCCCAGGGTAAGGGATTCCAAAACTAGAGGGCACAGGCTTAAGGGGAGTGGAGAAAGGTCCCTTTTAAATCTATAGGGCAACTTTTTCGCGCAGAGGCTGGTGCATGTATGGAACGAGCTGCCAGAGGAAGTGATGGAGGCTGGAATGATAACAACATTTAAAAGACATTTGGGTAGGTACATGGATAGGAAGGGTTTAGAGGGATATGGGCCAAATGCTGGCAAATGGGACTAGATTAATTTAGGATATCTGGTTGGCATGGACGAGTCAGACTGAAGGGTCTGTTTCTATGCTGTACAGCTCTAGGACTATGTCTATGACTATGACTGCCATTTGAAAAGAGAGTTCCAAACCTCCGCTAATCTTTGTGTGTAGAAGTGCTTTCTAATATCTCTAAATGCCCTGGCCCTAATTCTTTGACCATCCTCCCAGTTCTAGAAATCTTTATCCACCCTGCCTTTCCCTGTTAATATCCTAAAATTATCATTTGGAATCACTCCTTAACCTTCTAAATTCCAGAGAATAAAAGCCTAATTTGTCTAATTTCTCCTCATAACATAACCCCTAAGGTCCAGGTATCATCTTTGTAAAGTTGTGATGAATTCCCTCCAGGGCCAAAACATCCCTCCTGAAGTGTCACGCCCAGATCTGCTCACAGTACTCAAAGTGGGATCTAACTAAGGTTTTGTATCACTACAGTATAACATCAGCTTTACTATACTGCAGCCCTTTAGATACGGAGGCCAGCATTTCATTAGCCTTCTTCACTATTTTCTGCAAAGAATGAGAGAGAAAATTTAAATGACTCAGGAAAGGTAGAGTGGATTTGCTCCACTATAACCTGCTCCAAAAGAATAATTACACAAAGTTATCTACACTAAAATATTCACTCTGGATAAAAGTGCCTCCTCAATAGTTGATCATTTTCACCTCAGTTTTAAATTTAATACTGTAATAAAGTCTTACATATTTGCTTGCTTGAGGTTTATAGCCAGAAGATTAATCTGATTAGAGGTTTACAAGTGTTATTGACCAGTTGCCATCTTACATTAGGGTCTAGAAAATGTGCCGACTTTATTTTTTTTTTTTTTTAAAAAGGGACAGCAAATGGAAAAACAACAATATTAAATGTAAATGGGCAAGGGTCAAAACAATGACAACCCATACAGCTCCAGTTCTGAAGTGAAAAGGTTTTTGACCCAAAGAACTGACCCTATTTCTCTCCACAGATTGCTGCCTGGCCTGAGTATTTTCAACATTTTACATTTTCATTTAATATTTTATGTATCATATTCTGCTCTTATAGCCCAATTGGTTATTGTGGCTCTTTGAAAATGAGTTCTCTTTCCACTGTGAATCTTTTGCTGCTGTTTTTTTAAAAAAAACAAAGAGGTAGATTAAGATTTAGATTTGGAAAAGTTACAAAAACAGAAATTATAGACAATAATTTCACAAACAGCAAAACTGTTATAATCAGGTAAAGCTCATTGGCAACTTTTAGCAAATTCACTTAAATAGGTAAAAGGAATCCATAAATAGTCACTAAAGGTCATTGATCCATGTGCACTAATTGTTGTAAGAGAAAAGATTTGGAAAAATAGTTACTTTTATTTCACATAATGAATTATTGGAAGTTTAAAAAACCAAGTTGAATCTGAAAGGTGGTGATGTGACACCATTAGTTTCTTCAATAAATTTAGAGGCCTGACTCAGTAATTTATGAGCAGTTTACTATCATTGCACGGGAATATTTTGATTTTTTTTGACTGTGATCATAAGTGAAGCAGAAAAATCACGCTATACTAGCAGTGTATGACATGCAACAGAAGTTTGACTCAGGCAGGAAAGCTCAAAAAGTCCAAGAAAAAAAATACAAGCTCAAAAGGAAGAATGGTTCTGTTTGTCATTTAGCTATTATATTTCATGTAAATTGCACTAATTGAACCAAAATAACCTGGATCTTAATTAATATGTGGCATATTTAACTCCATGTAAGGAAAAATCAATCACAAGTCATCTGAAATAATTTTGTATCATCCAACGTGAACTTTGCTTTCAAAAAAGATGCAAGTGAAACATGTTCAAAATACAAAAACATCTGTTTCAGGTTAAAGGGGTTTCTGTTGTAATATCCCAGGTCCTCTTCTCACACAAGCTCATACAGCAATGCGAAACAATTTCCATATACAAGTGACACATCAAGGCAGGATACAAGAAAAACTTGTGTCAGACCAAACCCAACTATATATTGACGGCAACTCTCCAAGAAATATTTTGAGAAGGAAATAGATTGCTATTCTAATTTCTCCCCCCACCCCACCAATTGCTGTACATTTAGATCATATAGAGAAACAATTATAATTTGTTAGTACTTAAACCTTACCGATTTGTTTGAAGTTTCAGGAAAGAATTTGGTGACATTAGTATCTGCTCTGCTTCAACGTTAGGATTGAGCAATTGCAATTTTTCAAATACCTGAAAAGTTAAAGCAATTTTTTTATTGATGTACTGTAACACCTAAAAACCTCAAGAAGCTCATAGCAAGAAACGCTGTAAAAGTCGAATTGGAATGAGAGCAACAGTGCAGACAGACAAGTAGAAAGTAGACAAAATAGCAATGTTAAAAATATTAGGGAAAAAAGGCAAATAAGCAAAGAAATGATCCTGGGGTGGTATTCACCATCATGTACCCTTCTCCAGTCAAAAGAATACCTATTCACTACTGCCCTCTGCCTTCTACCCCTTCCACAATTATATATTCAGTTTTCCATTGACCTTCTAATTACAGGCACCTTAACTTTCCAAATAAATCTATGATTTTGTACTTTATTGAATGCCTTTTCTTAGTCCATAAAACCTGCTGTGCAATCTTCTTTAACTAGATTTGTCACTTCAAATAATTCAGAAGAGGCACAATGTGTTTTTTGGAAGTCCATGCCAACTGCCACATAGTTCATTCCCATTTGAGCAGGCTAGATTACGGCGTCCATGGTAACGCTCTCGGAACAGCAGCTCATTAGGTTAGGACCCCACATCAGGCAGTTAGCATCACAGACAGAGGAGTAGTCCAACAGCTTGATGAAACTGAGAGACTTAAAATAGTGTGATGGAAGGAGTCTGCGCAGGGAGCTGCCTCCTGAAATTGGCTCATTTTAAATTAATTAGTGGGATGTGGGCATCGCTAGCTGGCAAACATTTAATGCATGTCCCTAGCTGCCTGTGAAGAGACTTTGTAGCAATTGGTGCAACTGAATGGCCTGCTAGACCATTTCAGAGGACAATTAAGAGTCAACAATGTTGCTATGAGTCTGGGGTCACATGTAGTCCAGACCAGGTGAGGATGGCAGATTTCCTTCCCTGAAAGACATTAGCAAGCCAGACGGGTTTTTCCCAACAATCTACAGATGTTTAATTCCAGATATTTTTACTGAATTCAAATTCCACCATCTGCCATGGCAGGATTCGAACCCAGGTCCTCACAACATTAGCCTGAGTTTCTGGATCAATAATCTAGCGATAATACCACTAGGTCACTGCCTCCCCTACTTCAATACAGGGAAGAAGCTGATTTGTGAGCATTGTTTTAGGAGTTTAGCTTGGCCAAGTGACGTGTACATTCTGCAAGGAGTATGTTCATGGACACAGCATGTGTCCCAGATGAATAAATCTGTTTTCAAGAATCTATTTCAACAGTGAGAAAGGATGACACAGTAAATGAAGCATCAAATGAGGCCATTTAGGTTTTGGTTAGAAACCACAAGTATGATACACACCCCCAATAGTGGGAGAGGGGTAGAGGAACAAATTGGTAGGCACGTTTGAGTGCAAAAATGATTGGGGAGTAATATTTGGGGACTTAAATCACACAAATACGAACTGGGAGATACAGACAATGTGAAAGGCAGAGGGGGACAAATTTCTTGAATTGCATTCAAGAGAACTTTTAAAAGAACTTTTATAGCCAGCATATGACAAGCCCAACAACAGGAAGTACAATTCTAGATTAATTTTAAGGAAATGAAACTGGACAGGAAAATGAAAAGAAGCAGGTGACCATTTTGAAGACAGCAATCATAATACAGTTAGATTTAGCATCATTATAGAAAAGAATAAATATAGAACAGCAATAAAAATTCTAAATTGGGGGAAGGCAACTTTTACAATGCTGAGAGATGATCTGCTAGAAGTGGACTGGTTACAGCTACTTGGAGGGAAGTCAGTGGAAATCATTGGGGTCATTCTCATTCAAAAGAGAGGGCAGTATAATCATATACCAGCAAAAAAAGAGAACAGTACTGCTAAATCTAAAGTCTCTGGTTATCCAGAAGGGCAAGGTAAAACAGCAAAAAAACATAGCTTTGTCAATCTCAAAAAACTGTGATACTTTAGAAGCTCAGAGGAGTACAGGAGGAAAAGAAAATAAATTAAGAAAAGAAGATACAAAAAGATACTTGCAGGTAAAATTAAGGAAAATCTGAAGATGTTTTATCAGTATATTAGAAGTAAAAGGATTACTAGGAAAAGGGCCTTGACATATAAGGTAACATGTGCATGTTGATGACATTGGCAGGGTTCTTAATGAGTACTTTGTCTCCATCTCCACAAAGGAGAGGGGAATTGCTGAAATTTAGTTAAAGTAGTGTGAAATATTACCAAGTATGCATAGCAAGAAGAGAAGTAATGAAGGGACTGACCTTCTTGAAAGTGAATAAGTCACCAGGGCTGGATGAATTGTATTCTGGGCTATTAAAAGGAAGCCAGGGAGGAAATAGCAGAAGCACCAAGATTCATTTTCCAATCCTTACATATATACATGAGATACCAGACAATTGGAGGTCAGTAGAAGTTGTACTATTATTCAAAAATGTAAGGGATAGGCCAAATAATTATAGGACAGTCAGTCTGACCTCAGTAGTGTGCAACTTACTGGAGTTAATCTGGGGAGACTGGATTAAATGCTATTTGGAGAGGTTCAAGGGAATCAGGGATAGTCAGCACGATTTTGTTAAGGTAAGGTTATGCCTCACTAACACATAATTAAAGTGTTTGAGGAAGCAGCAAATAAGATTGACGAGAGTTAGGCAGTACCTGTTTCTACATGATTTTAGTAAGGCATTTAACAAGGTTCCACAGGGCAGACTGCAGGAGTTGGAAATTCTCCCTGCTGCCCTACCTCTCTAGCCATGCATTCATCTCCAGTATCTCGTTTCTGTACTGAATACCACATGGTATTGGGAGCAATCCGGAGATTATCATCTTTTGAGTTTCTGTTGGTTAATATTTTAGCCAAACTGCTGAAACTCTGTCTGGTGGGCTTTAATCCTATTACTTTGTTCATTGTTTCTAATGTGAAATATGGGATGGCCCACTTCCCTTCACATAATATTCTGCATTCTTCAGCTGATGCATTTTATCCTGGCACCAGAGAGGCAACACACCATTCAGGACTGCAGAAGCTCCTCCTGCTACAATCAAGTCACTTGTAACAAGGGCATTATTTCAGTAGCTCTCTCTTGTAATAACTAACACTATCTTAGATGCTTTGTATCAGATGGTGATAATTTAAACAAATACACCCTTTCAGAGCTTCCTATACCTGTAATATTAGGGTAACTTCTTTTTTTGAAAACTAACATCTGTAAAACAATTGATTTAGGATGCATGGTATACCCTCTGTATGTAACTAACAAAATTTGAAGGTGTGTAGCACTTTGCAGCAAATGGTCCTCCAGTTTGGTTGTCACTTGCCTTCTACTCCTGCTCAATTTTAACAACATACTTTGTCTGCCTTCCCCGTGTGCAATGACAACATGAATAGTAATGACAAAAAAGTGACAAGTAAATTGGAGCAGTACCTGAATCTGCATTTCATCTGATAATTCTCTGGCATTATTTTCAAATTGTCCACCTGCTGGATCTGTAGTTTTTACAACTACCTTCAACCCAGTTCTGCCTTTCATGCGACTGTACACATACATTGCAAAGTTGTTACTTGCTGGAAGTTGAAAAGCTGCCTAGAAACACAAATGCATAATACAAATGTGAAATTCTACATAAGCATGCCACAGCAAAAACAAAAGCAATGTTTCAATGTGAGTATATATATTCCTTGAAGATTATAAGCGGTTGCATGTACATACCTGTAAAACAGTATATAGAGATGTATGCATAAAGTAACAACAGCTCAATTTACCTCAGAATGCCTGGTGTCAAGGTCAATAATGTCCCTTTTTGTGACTGACCAATGAAATGTTAGCCCTGGTACTGCATTACCAAATGCAAATGGTGTCTGGTTGCTTGTAATTCCCATTACATAGACAGGCATCTGGGAATGAACAAAATTCATCAAAACTGATGTGACATCAATCACTGTTACTAAATTCAAACAGAGTGCAGATGTAGACAACTGTATGGATCACTGAAATTTCATTATTTTGAAGTTATCAACTTGCTAACTGTATGCATTAAGGTTCAGGACAATAAAAGGGGAAAATGCATACATAAATGACTCTAACAAACTTGTTCAAGGATCCAGAAGAATTCTGGTTTTGTAATTTAGAGTACAGAATTACCAGAGTGCCTGTCTTCATTCTTGTAATGGGTCCATGTATTCTCACAGCTTTAAGCTGAACCACTTCCACTTCTACTTCATCCTTTAAGGAAATAAAAGCAGATTATATACTATTGACCTGTATGAGTGGTCAAACAAACATTTTTACTAATTTGCTGCAATAGTGATAAGCTAAGTGGTTACATTATTGCAAAGGTTTTTGTTAAGACAAAACACTATAGCAAAATATTCACCTGCAATGACTGACTTCAGATTAAAAAGAATTATACATTTACAGTAGCAATACTGTATAGCAATAACATATCCAAGATCAGAAATTTATCTCACATATGATTATAACTGGAATATGATCAAAATAACATACATAACAGGAGCCAGTTAGCTTGGTTGGCTGGACAGCTAGTTTGCAATGCAGATGTCGTCAACAGGGCAGTTTCAACTCCTGTACCAGCCGAGGTTACAATTGCTTTCTCAGCCCTGTCCCTCATCTGAGATGTGATGACGCTCGGGATAAATTCGCCACCTCGGAGTCATTTCATGGTACTTTGGTGACTTTACCTTAGTTATAATTATAGCAGGGCTTCAAATATAAAAGTTAATGTAAAAGTCAAACAAGAGTCAGTTCAGTTCATACTACATGACCACTCCCTATGAGGTCTTTCCTTAGTGGTTTTGAGGAAGGAACTATTCTTATCTGCTTTATTGTTGCAACTCTTTTGTTGTCTACTTCAGCTAAAAACTACAGTGATATGGTGACCAGACTTAGAACTGTTTGAATTCTATAAAGACATTGGTGCCTGGCAATTCTACAGTCAGTAGTGAAGCAGCAAAACAGCAACTTTAATTTGGGTCAAATATCTTCCAACTAAGTTGTATACTTTTACTCTAAGATGGACTGACTGGAACAGACAGCAGACAGTAAAAAGTGGAGGGTCCAGAATGCAATACAGATGACAGTACTGAATGAGGTTCTGGTGATAACCATTCAGCAGAATAAAAATCAACATATTGTTCAGAAAATAGCATGAAGTAGTTTAAACATTTTGCAGCATGATAAGATTGAACAAAATAACCTCAGATGGTATTATTATGTAGCAGAAAAAAAATCATAACAAAAATCAAAATGTCTCCGTTACTTGTACCTTCTATTGATTTACCTCCAATGACAACAAATTTGTAGAAAAAACATGAAGTAGGCTCTGATTAAAAAAATAGTTAACAAATGTATAATATCCTTCATAACCAAACAGCTCAAAATGCTTACAGGGAGTTTGTTACTTTCAGTGCAGTCTTTTCCTATCCAAATACAGCAGACAACCTATATGCACTACCAGCAATATGACTATTTAACATTAGCCAGAATCAGTTGAACATTCCAACTTTTTCAAATAATGATCAAGGAATCTTTTATAAGCACCCAATTGAGGCAAAAAGACAACACACATCTGATAATGTAGTACTCCCTCAGTACTACACTTCAAACTTTAATTTTACGCTCAAGCCCAGCAAGGGGTCTGACTCCACAAACTTATGACTTAGTAGCAAACATGACATCATTTAAACACTTGATAACTGCATTAGACGACAAATTCAACAAAGTAAACAATACTGCCAACATAACTGGCGTAGCAGTTTGAAAAAAAAAGACGGACACCACTGCAAACAAAATTAAAAGTAATGCACGTGTTCTGATATTGTCCATTAGTTTCAACTTCGGGAGGTCAAAGCTTGGATAAGATCCAAGCATGATTGTACGCAAAGGATCTGAATCGATGCTTATTCACAAAGTGAATTTGGTTAACTTTATTAAGCTTGAGGGGAGAATTAGAGGGGTGTTCAGAAATTGCGCCTTTCCACTCCATATCAGAAGCATCCTAGCAATTTCTGTTAAGGACAGTTGGATCAGACAGTTAACGGCCAAGGTCAAGAAAACAGACTGGAAGTGTGTACAAAAAATGTTGCATTTGCCAGTTGATGGCTTGGTCTGGTGAATTTGTTCAAAACAGTCAAATTGGAAGAGGTCAAACTAAATCAATTCCCTGATCAAATCTTCAGAGTGAGGGGAGGGTGTCCACAACAAAAGGAAAAGCTTCAATAAACTTAAATATAGAAATAGTGAAAAACGACCATCAATAATAAATCAAAGTTTTGAGTTGGCTGATTCATCTGGATGAGCCTGAAGGACAACATATGGTGCATGAAGAGGAAGCAGAGCAACAACTTGGCAAAAGCATCACTCAAATTTTCAAGCAGGGTGAAGAATAGCCATCAGAATTATAACTTTGACAGGAGAAATTTCAGAAGTTTTAATAGCATGCAAGAAAGCCCAGAATGCAGAAAACGTGTGGCATTTTCAGTACAACAATGAACTTATTAAAACAAAAACCATACCTGAGGCAATTATTTAAAGCCCTGTTGGGAACCAAGTTTTGACTGTCATATTCCTGCAAAATACATGGGCTGAAGTTCTCAAGTAAAGGTGATTCCAACTGTTCAGGACAGTAAGGTACACTGAAATAAGTTGATCTTTGCCTTATTTTACTTATGTCTAAGGAGAGGTATGTATGTTCACTTTATATTCATAGCTGTAACGTCCTCCAACTAGTCACATTATTGCCCATATCACTCATCAAAAAGACATTTTCTTTCATTGTCAGTAGTGCGAATCTGTGAAATTCTCTATCTCAGAAAATTGTAGAAGTTCATCTGATAAATATATTCAAGACTGCAAATCAACACAGTTGCAGGCACCAAGGGAAGTCAAGTGCATAGGGATTAGGTGGGCACGTAGAAGTCAAAGCATAGAATGCCAAGCAGCCCTACGGTCTCCTCAAGCTTACATATTTATACATCAGTCTATGCAAACTGTCATGATAAGTTACCTTACTTATTCTATCATCACCCCTTTTGAATTGTAGAGTCATCACTTTGCTGTTTAATCTTTCCCATCTTTCACCCTTTCCTGAACCTTCTCTTATTTTTTCCCTCACCTCCCACCATTCCGGAGGTGAAAAAGTTGTTGTCTCTAAATATTTCTAGCTCTGTTGAAAAATCATTAATCTGAAGCATTAACCCTGTTTCTCTTCCACAGATGCTTCTTGTGAAGCTTCTCTAGGCATCTACAGTATTTTGATTTTCTTAAGGTTAGAAGTAGGTCAGCTACGTAGAATACAAATTTATTAAAATTTAGGAAAATTATGCCTCCATGTATTGAAACCTGCGATAATGCCCTGAATATTTGGAGGTGATAATGTAAAAGCCATTGGCTGAAAAATAAGGTACTACTTTGGATGCTATTCATAATATGCATTAACTGCATGTTGAGAAGCCACAGACTAGTGTTTCAAAGTACCAAGCTTTGACAAGTAAAACTGCAAAATCAAGAGTGAATTATAAATCATCACAAATGTACTGAGAATTACACTGCAATTAATTGTTCATTATATAGTCAGCCTATATCACAATTATAGATTATAGACATGGGTTGAGAAAGCAATTCCCAAATGAATTGTGGATAACTAAGTATAATGCCTAGATTGCCAAAAAGGCATTTGTCAATATCCACAATAAAAAGGTTAATTAACCTCAAAGCTGTGGGGATCCAGGAAATTACCTGAAGCAAAGTAAACAATCGAAACTTGAAGCAGGAATCGTCAAGAGGTTGCAAAATGAGGGGAATTGGAGAATGAATGGGATGTCAGATTACTTTAATTCACAGTAAATAACTGAGGGGCAATGGAAGCTTTAGAAATAAAACACGTGAAATACGTATGTGAGCAGACAAAAGACAAATTCAGTACTTATGATATGTGCAAAAGAAAGGGATGAGAAGCATTCTTCAAGATTGAAATTACCAAGACCGAGGTAGAAAAAGACCTAAAAGACATACTATGATAATTTATATGCTCAATTAAAATGTATAACAAAATAATAAAAACAAGTCAGATGAGTTTTTACGAAAAAAATATCAAATAGTCTCGTGAACAGATTTTGGACATTTTACACTGTGTCCATGTTCTGCAGCTGAGAAACTGGAAAGATACTGAACAAAACATATTATGCAGAAGAGAGCCAATGGGCTGATAGCTAGTACAGTCTAAGAGAATCTGAATAATGATGAAACATTGGAGAAACATTTCTTTCTGGAGAAACATTTCTTTCTGGAGAGGAAACAATCGTATTTCAAGGCCATGTCACAAGAGTGACGAGTATGAAAGTAGTAACCATGAAATATAATTTATGGCAACACTAAGACAAATGGGACAACATTTCAATATTATAGCAAGCAAATATCAAACTGATGATCCAAACTAACCCTATCAATGAACCTTTTTCACCCTGTGTAATCAGCACAGGGAACAGATTTCAAGATTAGGTAGTGGAGGTAAAAACCATTGAGCAAACAAGATATCAAAATATCAGAAAAGTAATGCTTTTGTGGAAGAATTAAGGAAGACTGGCCTAAATGAAATATCTTATGATACAATCATGAACTGTTTTGGGCCAAACATGTTAATACTTCTTCCGAATAATGATGTTACCACAGCAAAATGGAAAAGTTATTTCATGGCTATTACAAGTGACACAAAATGTATAGAAACCCTCAAAGTGTAAATCAATTAAAAATTAGTCACTTCACTAAAATTAGTGTTTCAGCTACGGTATGTATTTGCAGAAACTATAGGTTCCACAAACATTTCTAAATTAACATACTCTGAAACAGTGAATAATTTTTAAGAGGAATTCTCTTGTGTATCTTTGTATTTACATGTCTGATATCTTCCACACTTAGTAGTACTGATTTTTTTTTTTAAGTGGAAAAGATTTGGCTAATATTTTCCTGTGAAGGCAAAAGTTCTTTACAATTTTTCTCTTACCTGAGAAATCACCACTACTTTGCCACTTTCAGCATCAACAGCTTGAACTACACCAGTCACTTTGCCATTTCCAACTCTGAGCCCCTTTACATGCCCAATATTATTTACAGTGGCAAGGTTTTCATCATTTATAGAAAACAGGATGTTGGACTGTGGCTGAGGACCTCCTTCAGAAGTAATCTACAATACAGTAATGGGTTGAAATGAGCATTTTAAACTAAAACATCAAACTTTTGAATTAAAAATGTTTTTTAACACTCAAAATTTTGCTCCACAAAACTAAGTGCTTGCATAGATTTTTGTTCTCAAAGCTCGGTGACATAAAAAATCTCAGAGCAACTGCAACCTAAGCAGCTTTCTCATCTTGTTAATTTGCTACTTGGCAATACAAGAATGCTATTAGGAAAATTGAAAAGAAGTTTTTTCAACTGCTATTTGACATGTTACAGAGTGAGAGAAAGTTTTTTGAAGGTCAAACTTCAGTAATTCCTTCTTGTGACTGCTCAAACCAGCACTGCTTTGCATATTGGTCTGGGCATGTACAGTTTTCCTTTACATATTTAATATTGTATTATTACACTAACCAATTTGATAAGTTGTAATGTTATGGTACTGTGAGACAGCAATAACATTATTTCTAACATGGCCACATTCCAATTTAGGAATTGTTAATATTAATATAACTGCTGATGCACAAACACAATGGGACCAGATTTGGATATCATTTTAACCATAGATTCATCAATATTCTTTAAAGAAAGCAACAGAAAATACAGGCAAATACGGTGATTTTGAGGAAGGGTCAGCAGACCCGAAATGTTAACTGATTTCTCTTCACACATTCTGCCAGATCTGCTGAGCTTTTCTGTTTTTGTTTCAGAAAATACACACACAATTTTGATAGTGCAATGTCAGTTAATTTCGGGAAACTGAACCTGACATCTTCCGATAGATGCATGGTAACTATTTAAAGCAGGGTTTTTTTAATTGTCAGAAACAAATCGCATCCTTGACACAACATACCTGCATCATTGCACCCACAATGAGTGTTACTTTTTTAGGAATCAATCGAAAGGGGTGAAATACCTATAGAACGGAACATAGTCAAAATGATATTAAAATTACTTTTATATAGCGAAACCAAAAATTCTAACCACACCACCACCCCCACCTAATTTTCAACCCTAAACTTAACTTTTGACAGTTCTGTGCATTTTTTACGCAATCATGATAAATGAGACATTTTGAATTATTCACACTGCTTGAGAAACTATACTCAACTTACTTCAACTTGCTGAGGTGCAGAACTTAGTTTTCTCCCATCCTTATTCATTACAGTTGCTGTCAAACTGGTCTGCCCTATTGCTTTACCCTGAACTGTAAAACTAGCAGTGTAATCATCAAGGTTTTCATCGAGTGGCCTAAAACAGAAAAGCATATGTTCAAGAAATAAACTATAACAAGTCAAGCTTTTAAAATTATGAAGGATGAAAAATGAGCTAGCAACTCAGTGACATTCATAGAACCCCATCTCTAATGCAAGAGTTTTAAAGGCATTGAGCTAATCATTCTTACAAAACTGGAAAAAGCTACTTACTCTAATGAAACTATTTGAGAAGCTGCCTTCAGCTTTAAATTCATGAATTTGAAGTATTTGGAAAAGAAAGGTTTTCTGGAATAATCCAAAACTCGCACATAGGCTTTAACGGTGTTCCCAATCTCCACCTGTGAAAGACAAAATTATGAGAGCATTTTGCATTAAAGATTTAAATACCCATTATAATCTCATTTTACCCTATACTGTCATCCTTTTGGTTTCTGAAGCTTTCACCTTCTACATGATCAGAGGCGTTCCTTTTTATTCCTTTACCATCCTTCTTTCTCTGCTTTTGCACTTAAGACCTGTTATATTACAAAGTTTTCCAAAACCCATGTATTGCCAACATAATTTTTATTTCACATTTTCAGAACCCATACTATTCAATGCCCTGAATCACTCCCTGTAATATTCCTCCACATAAAAATGAACATAATTTTCACCTGAAAGTTTGTCTCAGCTATTTGCAACAGGAAACTACTACATTCTCAAACTGCACATTATACAATCAAACTTCTCCAAATGTCTTTCCTCACCTGCCAAATACTGGTAATCTCTTACTATCTCCAGAAGCAGGTAAAAATTGTATTCTCCAATCAAACCCAGCAAAATTTTGATTATTTCAAAACATACTATTGAATCTCTTTCAGCTTCTCTGCTCCAGTGGAACTAATCTTAATATCATAGTTTCTTCCCATAACTATAGCTGCTATCTTTATCATTAGTTGAATGTATACTTTATAATCTCCCTGGCTTTAATGTTCCAATAAAGTGTTGACCAAACCTGCACCTTGACTGTGCTTTAACAATTATCTTCTGCAAATTGAAGCCTATTAACTAACTTATTTCTCAATTGCCCTTTTTATTGTCCACTTATCTGCATTTAAGAAAAATAAAGCCAAAATAAATTTAATCATTAAGCTAATATCCTTCCACCAACCTTATCCACAACTCGTACGTACAACTCCAGTATGTCAGACACATGTACTTCAGCTTTAGCAGGTCCCAAAAAAGCAAGACACAAATCATGGACTAAAACAGTCAAAATTCCTGGATGAATTGGCAGCACCTGTTAGAGACAGAAAATAATACTTTTGTGGATGAAAAGTCTTAAAAACTCATGTCAGCCAGAAACTATCTGCGGGTCATGATTCTACCAGTTTTACTGGTGGAATCACAAATACGAGTGGACTACACTGCCATCTGTTCCAGACCGCATAGGATGAGTAAGAAGAGGCCATACTTGCATGGGCCCAGCCAATATCCATGTCTTAGGGACAACATATTCAGTTCACCATTTGGAGACAATGATGCTTTTGTCATCAAAATGGCAAGGGGGAGAAAACAAAAAAGGACTTTATCCTTCCCAGTTTGTCCTGCCTCTGAGATCATCAATCCTGTGCCACAAAGACTACTTTGAATTGTGCCTTAACATTCTCTTGTAGTTTCAAGACAGTTTCATTGTGGAGAACCTTCCATCACCCCATCAATTTCAACTTGGTATTTCTAATCATCCAACATAGAAGAATCTAATGAAAGTCTGAAGATACGATAATTTCTAGCAGTGGAAGGTCCTGCCCTCATTATCTAACCTCCATTTCTGTTGCTATTTGGGACATGAAGGCTTTGCTCCCAACCAAAATCACAGGAAACTGTTCAGTACTTAAATGCATCCAAGTCCTTGTAGTTATTGGCTAAGTCACGGTCATGTTGTCAATGTGACATAAACAGCTAATATAAAAACAATTTTAGGCGAAGATGAAATTGTACCCAAAAATGAGATGTGACAAAGTAACTCAATGATTTTATCACAGGAATAAATTGTACGCACAGACAAGAATGCAGCTGAATGATTGTTTTTAATCCATATCCATAGATGTTACTTTGAACTCTCATAGAATGAGGAACTTGTAATTCTTCTGTCCTAACAATAAGTTTCAAGTATATTTCAGAGATATTACAGGATATTGCAAATGTCATTTTGTAATTTATCCTTTAGTAGTGATGAGTTCATCAGTTTTCATTTTGCTTACCTTGATGCTAATTGATCCTATGCAAATTGCTGGCTTGAACTTCAAGGTCTTACTGATCTGGTAAGTGATCAAGCAAAGCTCCAGGAAAAATCCTAGACCTCCTTTCAGTAGTTACATAGACATGGATTGCCTTGCTTGAACTCAAAATAAAGCTTGCAACTTAAAATGGAACTGCTACGTGTTGGTCAGGACCAAAAAAGTGGCAATTCCTGCTGTGTTAAATTCACATATTTCTGGCAGAGTTTGTGGCTGCTGCAACTCAGAATCTGTACTGAAGCGAAATTAAATTAATGGCTGCCTTGTCAATATAACAGGGGATAGGGTGGAGGGCAGGGAATGCAATTCCACATTGTTAAAAGTGAGTAGCTTTCACGAATTTATTAGTGCAGGACATCAAAAGGAAAAGGCTACTTAGCTTTCTAGAGTACTGCATTTTCCTCCAACTGTGTTAAACTTAGGTTTGCACAAGCTTTACAATGACCATTATACTAATCTTGAAAACAAATTTTATCCAAGAATTTTCAATTCCTGGACAATTCATTAGCGGTGTTCTTAAAATTAACGATCCACACCTTAAAACATTTCACATAACCTTGGCCACTGCATCTTAGCTATCCAGTGCTTTCAAGACTACAGAGCCAAGTAAACATAAGAACAAAAACAAAGTTGCTGGAAAAGCTCAGCTCAGCAGGTCTGGCAGCATCCGTGAAGGAGAAAACAGAGTTAACGTTTCGGGTCCGGTGACCCTCCCTCAGA